AAATCGACATGTAAAGTGTATGTATTACCAAAATGACCCTGAAAATTGTTTAAGCAGGAGAATGAAGATAAAATAATAGTTCAAACTCAAAAGTGATACAATGAGAGTAAGTTTTAAAGTACAAGAAGAAATAGACCAGATGTTCCGGAAGACTTTACCCGATATGTGTAAGAGAATTTTTCTGGTCTGAAATGAAAACTATTTGTTGCATGACTACCCGTAACTGTTAGTATTTATCAATGAAAACATTCTGCGCGCAAACCTTTGAATACCGAATCAGCTCTAATGTGAAACTAGTAAGAAATGGAAAATAAACTATATGATTTTTTAAATAAATGCTCAATGGAATGTGGAGTGGCCCAGCCAGTTGCCTTGTGCGTAAAGACCACTTCTGGGGGTATATGAACCCGTCACACACTGTGTACACTGATCTGGTACAAACTTTGATCTGATCTGACCCTATCGGTCTTGCCGCTACTATTCACATTGTCTGATTAGTGTGGTCGTCGTTATCGGACTTTTGTATGTTAACAATTTCTTTCCCAGTATTTCGAATGTGATATGTGCTTCATTAGGCCGTTGAGTGTTATAGAAAGGAGTTTCAGTTCTCGAGAAGAGTCTGAGAAGTTAAAAGCAACATAAATTGAAATAAAAGAACTGTTAAACTCTTGAAAACGATTGTTTGTCATTCACTTCGATGTATTTTGTTTGCCTGTTTACAGCATGCCCGTGTGCTGGATGTAACAGACAGCAAGCTGTTAGGGTGGGGTTCGGAATTTTCTCTGTGAAGTAGTTGTTGAGGTAGGGTCGGTGGACTCTCAGCATTTTCTTCCTGTGGTACCTGTTGGGGCTGTTCTTCCGTATTTTTTTTAGGAGCTTTCGGGTTTTATTCTCAGCAGTTTTTTTGTGTAAGTACCTGTCGGGGATTTTCTTCAGCATTATCTTTGTGTATGTAAATGTCGGGAGATTTTCCTCCGCATTATCTTTGTGTATGTAAATGTCGGGAGATTTTTCCTCAGTATTGTCTTGGTGTATGTAGATGTACCTATCTGAATGGTAATCTCTTACATAGAATAAGTATCTTTGTGTGTGAAGACGTCGGGGTTTTCCCTAGAATTTCCTGTCATATTGCAGTTTATTCCCCCCTTTAATGCATTTCTATTCATTATAAACGTTTCTGACACCTAAGCTCTTGTGACTCTCAAGTGTTGTTTATCTATGTACGTGACACAGTTTGTATATCACGAGGATATTGTAGTATTACAATCTCCAACACTGGCTTTGATGGAGCACTCTCGACACGTATTGTCTTTTGTTGAGGTCGACATTTTTCAGACGATCCGATTAGTCCTATACCTCTATATTGGTCTTTCCGAACATCTCTGTGTTGACGAGAAACTAATTTAAGTCAAAAGGACGTACACATGATTCTGTACGTTCATGGCATATCATCCTCACTAATGGATATGTTCCACGTGCATTATATATGTATCTATTGTTTGTTGTAAGTAAAATACGTTGAAGTCGAGACTTTATGTATAGGGCGATTTCATGTTTCTGAATTCTAACAGCTCCAAAAATCGATAGTCTTTATTTCATAAATCACGGACTTAAATATAGATGGACCTATATATAAGACATATAGATAATAGATATGAATACGTTACTATAGAGACGTGTACATTGTACAAAGTATAACATTACCGTATTAAACCTCGGAGTATATATATGTTCCATTAATACTACTGTTCTTTACAACTATTGACTTCAATGATTAGCCCCAACCTTTAATTGATCAGACTGGCTGCGTCCTTGAGATTGACCCGCACATCAAAAGCCTTTTTTCGAGACAGAACAGCATTTTTTGTTCAGCGTCTTTTCATTCCAAATTACACTGTATAAGCTTTCAGAGTTTTATTGATTTTTGTATGAAAACTACTAAAATGCAAATTACTTCAGACTGTAATTACTTTTTCTGTCCTCGAAAATGAGTAGACCACATAGTGTTAGTTCCGGATACGTGGGCGAGGCATGCACAGAAAAACAGAATTCAAAGCTAGTCTTCCACCCAATCTTAGAAGTCATAATCTTTTTTGCCTAAATAACACCCTTCAATACAATTTTAGATTTAGGTACAGTAGAACCACATAATGAATTAAAAGTACAATTATTTTATCCTTCAAGGACTCGTCAGTAATGCTAAGGGTTCAGATACTGAAACCTCGGAGGCCATTGGGGAAAAATCAACCGAAAGAAGCGTCAAAATCAGGATTGGTAGATACACTAGCCCCATTTTTCAATAAATATCTTATTTTCATAAAAAAATACTTACTCTTCTACATCAGTCGCTTGTCTCGATATTTTCCTACAGTGAAACCAACATGGAAAGCTGTCCACCAAGCTGTATGATAAGCATGATTTCAATTTTCTTGCTGTGAATTTTCCATTTCAGTATAGCAACACCCTTGCGTCCCAAACTTATGGTGTTAACATTTCGCATTTGATTCGATATTCAAGGGCCTGTTCCATTATCACGATTTTTGTGCAGAAAGTTGTCAACTGACAGACAACCTCGTAACACAAGGATTCAAATAATGGATGTTGATGGATATCGGGAAATTTTATGGACATCAAAGTGATATCACTAAGAACTACTCTATATCTCTGTGCGATATGGAGCTGGACGTGTTTGATGCTCGTTGGCTTGTCTGTATACCTTGCTCTGGTTTGAGCTTGTGACATTACTTACTTTTATTGATTTACATGGCGGCTGTCGTCTATGAAGCGGAATACGCTTACTCTTTCGGAATGTCTGGCCTTATTTTCCTTGTACATTTTCACGAGTCTCCTGGTAGACCTTTATCATGTTAAAAGTTTTGACTAGTTTTATTGAAATTGAGTTTGGATAATGATTATGTTGCCATGTTGGCATTTACTTGATGTTTCTCACATACATCTGATAATTTCAACAAAATGTTAAGTACATGTGTATGAATGAATATTTTGATATATTGATAATTCTTATTTTTTGTTGAATCCGGCACTAGTGCATGTGTACATCTATATAGCATACTATACCTTAACATCTGTTTAGACAATGTTCCCTTCTAGATTTCCACACTTTAGGCAAATATCATTACTTAAGAGTCTTACAAAGACTTTTTCAAACAGAACTGAGTTGAATGCCATACCTGTCAAATCACCCAATATGTGTGATATCAGCTTGATAGCATGTGTTTTGTGTGATATCAGCTTGATAGCATGTGTTTTATCTTCCACTCTATTCAACACACTTATTCAACAGATATTGTGCTAGTTATTATTGCTATTATAAAAATAGATGTAAAAAAAATTAATAATAAACTTACAAAAATTACTAACATACACCAGAACTTATACAGAATAATATTTAGTGACAAGGAATATATACATTGATTACAGAGAATTCCCTAACCTCTGGTTGTCCGTCCCTAACCGCTGGTTGTCCGTCCCTAACCGCTGGTTGTCTATCCCTAAACTCTGGTACTCTGGTTGTCCGTCCCTAACCGCTGGTTGTCTGTCCCTAATCTCTGGTACTCTGGTTGTCTGTCCCTAACCTCTGGTTGTCTATCCCTAAACTCTGGTACTCTGGTTGTCCGTCCCTAACCGCTGGTTGTCTGTCCCTAATCTCTGGTACTCTGGTTGTCTGTCCCTAACCTCTGGTTGTCTATCCCTAAACTCTGGTACTCTGGTTGTCCGTCCCTAACCGCTGGTTGTCTGTCCCTAATCTCTGGTACTCTGGTTGTCCGTCCCTAACCGCTGGTTGTCCGTCCCTAACCGCTGGTTGTCTGTCCCTAACCTCTGGTATTCTGGTTGTCTGTCCCTAACCTCTGGTTGTCTATCCCTAAACTCTGGTACTCTGGTTGTCTGTCCCTAACCTCTGGTTGTCCGTCCCTAACCGCTGGTTGTCTGTCCCTAACCTCTGGTATTCTGGTTGTCTGTCCCTAACCTCTGGTTGTCTATCCCTAAACTCTGGTACTCTGGTTGTCTGTCCCTAACCTCTGGTTGTCTGTCCCTAATCTCTGGTACTCTGGTTGTCTGTCCCTAACCGCTGGTTGTCTGTCACTAACCGCTGGTTGTCTGTCCCTAATCTCTGGTACTCTGGTTGTCTGTCCCTAACCTCTGGTTGTCTGTCCCTAACCGCTGGTTGTCTGTCCCTAACCTCTGGTTGTCTGTCCCTAACCTCTGGTACTCTGGTTGTCTGTCCCTAACCTCTGGTTGTCTGCCCCTAACCTCTGGTACTCTGGTTGTCTGTCCCTAACCTCTGGTACTCTGGTTGTCTGCCTCTAACCTCTGGTTGTCTGTCCCTAACCGCTGGTTGTCTGTCCCTAACCTCTGGTTGTCTGAACAATGTTGTTCTTAATTTTTGTACCTTATAATTTTTCATATCTTTGTCTATCATATTGACTACTTACTGAATAACACTTGTAGGTCACTCATAAAGAGTCAAATTTTGAATACTAAAAAAACCAAAAGGGGTGGGGATGGGGTGGGGAGAATTTTCCTATGCCTATAGATAACAGTATAATTATTTACATCTACATGTGTTCTGTGATAAAATATCAACCATAAGCATCCATCATGCAAGCTGGAAATCAATAAAGCAAAGTAGAAACTAAGATAGAAAGTCAAATCTACTCCACGACCCTTGAAAAGAAGAATAAGTCGGTGTTTATAACAGGTAACTTTTGTTTCATGGATGACAATCAACAAGTAATGTTAATTCTAATTGATACCATGTTCTCAGAATGGTAACAAGATACACAACAGAGTTTACCTTGTAGGTGCTTAAACTTACTTTTACTACAATGAAACTGTCTACTTGATATGACAATAAGTATTGAAACAATTGCCTGTCTGGAAATCACTTGTTACATAAACTTTTACATGCTGAAATCAGACTCCAGATTACTGTAGAAGATTGAAGTGTTTAGTGTATATACAGAAATATAACAGACATGTTAACATGTATCTACATTTATTCATACACAAATAATGGACGCCAGGACACAAACATAAGTCACATAGCTTTAACAATGGTTAATAATATTTACATAAGATGATTAGTGTGTATATAGCTTACTCAGAGAGGAAATAAATAATAAACAAAAGTTAATACAGAAAGTTCAGCAATACTATCAGCACCATTAGTGACGACCAAGACACTACGTGTGATATACTACAAATATACATTGATACCTAGGTCTGTTTCTCTTGTAGGTCAAAACTGCTTATCTCTACTCTTCCTAGAGAGTTTAGTGATATCTTAAACAGCGAAAGAAGTTAATTAGTTTATTGCCCATGGATCATATAGCATAGGTGTTAATTTGTAAAGCATTATAAAGATGAGAGGCAGTGCAGTTTTTTAATATCAGGTCCAAGCAATACTCAAATTTGTACAAATCTTTCCCTACATCTGCATGTGTACCAACTCACATCATACTACTAGCTTGTAGGCAAAGTAGGTCCAGTCATAATTCTCTCAAGACAAAACAATGACTACAAAATTATTTTTATGCTAATGTAATTCTGTGATCAGAAAAAGGAAATCGTTATCACATAGGTCATTTTAATTACCGAAACGTGCAACTTTCTCAAAGTCATTTCCGGAACAAAATATTGTATTTCTTTGACCATTTGGTGGTATTAGCATAGAGATGTAATAACTATGAGATACTGGCAAGTTAAAAAATTATGTCTCTCTGATGGTGATATGCTGCCAAATTGACAGTAGACTGATAGTGCTACAGACATCTTCTCAATCAAATTATACTCATTATCATTAATTTCTGTCTGTTAGGTCATTCAAACAACATACATCTCTCTTTAAAACAATAATATAGCTTAACAATTTGAATTGACTTCACATTTACATTAATACTTATGAAAAACTATTTCCATCTGGATTAATTCATGGTGCTATCAATTTAATCCTGTTTTATATCAACTCACATCCATCCAAACAATAAATACAGATATAAATATAGAGAATATCGACTTCAGGCACACAATAAAGAACTGAAAAAGATACGAAGGGGAAACTAAACACAATATTGTCTTAATTCAGGATATTTGGAAACAATAAAAGGAATATGTTAACTTCAGTATATGGTGATTTTCTGGAATAAAGTCTAGTGAATGTGGAGTATTAAATACTGGCGTTATAGAGATGGTGATGTCGTCAAATCAGGTTACTATAATGATGTGTAGTTGATGTTTTATAGGGAAACTGGCTACAGTCATAATGATGTGTAGTTGATGTTTTATAGGGAAACTGGCTTCAGTCATAATGATACACAACCATTTTCTGTTTAAAACATATATAATTATGGATGATGGCAAATAAAGTAGTTTACTCTGCGAAAAAGGTTTGCTTTAGGAATAAATGTGAGGTACTTACACATTCTGTAGTTAGACTCTGGCAAAATTTCTCGGAGTTAAACTTGGTTCTGTCACAATTATCTCATAACAGCTATCCACTTTACACATCATATGAATTATGATGGCACTTTTATTTCAAATAGAAGTGAATTATAATAATTTGTTTTTGTTTCAAATAAATTTCTTATTTTGCATGTTGTTTGGGTTTTTTTTTTGCTAATTGAAAGTTTGGATAACACTGAACTTTTCACAATATGGTGTTATATATTCCTAAAGTTTGTAACAAAAAAAAAGAGGGTGAAAATAACAGGTTCACATAAACTGAAAAACATGTGTTTCAGTAGAGGATTTTCATCGATTTAAATGTGTTTTTAAATATTAGTATCCATTTACTATCCCATATAGTGTAACAGCTTTGACCTAAAGTTCAACTCAAGTTTTAAGTTATTTAGATAAAAGAAAAGGATGCCATCATCAAAATAAAATTAGATAGTGTTGACAACTTTAAATCAAAAAGAAATTTACAACCATTCTTCCAAAACTCTCTGTTTTCTATCAATTCACACTTAATATCCTGTCATGTCATTTTTAATCACATTAATGCCAGATTCCTGAACCTATACATTTGTATTTTCACTTTTCTGTCACCACAAGGATAGTTTCTAGTTACCCACAATTCCATGCTTCTGTCATCACAAGGACAATTTCCTGTCATCCCTAAATCAAAATTTCCTGTTCTCTGATTTCTAGTTTTCCCACACTGTCTAATTACTTTCAGCAAACTGGAAGTTCCTTTTTACACTGGTAATTCCCCTTCATTAAAATATTTTCAAAAAATATATTCAGTTTCCTGTCTCTGCACTGTCTGTTTCCTGTGAGCCAAAAGCTATGTTGTACACATCTTTGTATTCGCTGGCATAGTGTACCTCCAAGTCTTTGGTGATATAGTCAGGAAGATCTGTAAAGTCCCGTTTGTTCTCATCTGGCAGTATGATACAGGTAACACCGGATCTCTTAGCCTGTGTAAAACAAAGGTGATGTAATTATACATTATACACTTTACCTCTTATAATGCAAAAACAAAAGGGAGGTAATTATATCCTAATGGAAACACATGATCTCTGAGTCTAGGAATGCAAAGAGGATGTAATTATTCTACATATCTAACATCAGACATTTAAGCCCAACTGCCTGTTAAAGATAAGAGGAGTCAATTACATATTATACAGGTAACATCAACATCAGGTATCTTAGCCTGGAAAACAAAGTATATAATCATGGGTAACATCAGAGCAGCAGGGAATCCCTGACACTATCTCACTGAGGACATTTCTTAACCAACTGTGGCTTGCATAATGCAGACAAATAATTTTGAATAGACCTTCTCAGTACAGAAATCTGTCACAACATCACTGCAAGGTTAATTTTCCTCAGAACACTGTGATGAACTGATAAGATTCATGATCAATGAAGTAGATATAAATGTACTATTGTATAAACACTGCCTTGATGGGCAAATCCACGGATACTTTGTGATACTTAGCGAAGGCAGGTTTAATCGGTATAAATATTATACAATTTACCTGTAATAAATCTTAAATCACTGAATTGAGTGTTTGTGACTTTGAGGCTATTTGGCTGCATGAAACAATCCAACGAGAAAAATAAAATCCTCAAAAAGTTGAGAAGATTTTCTGCAAGTTTTTATTTTGAATAAACTCTAAAATGCTTCATAACTTCTGGGTTTGAATTTTCACAACGGTTGGAGTAAAAGTCCCCAAAGAAAGGGGCTTCTCATCTGTGGTTCTGTGAGATAAATTCCAACAAGCATCCGAAAAAACCCATATAATATCTATACATACAACTTGGCGGACCTTTCAGAGTAACAATATAAAATCTTAAGTATCTGATGAGGTACTGTTGGAACACACTTGATGTCCTTGACAGCATGAGGGTGAGTTTTGTCCTCGTGACAATTATCTCTAACAAGGCAACATTACTGTCGGAAACTATTACACTCTAACTCCATATTACAGCACTATTCTATAGCTGCAATAGAAAGAAACAGCCTTGATACAGTAAAATTTTGTAAGCTAAAACATCAAGTGCATGTAATCAATGTCATGAATATTCATGTCCACAAAATGATGCCAATTTCCAGCCATCTCCCTCCATCCCGCTCTGTTAGTGTTCCCAGAAGCACCTTACACATAGGAAATAGATGTCGCATATCAAACCCTACTGGAAGTAAACGTAATGGTCATTAATGTCAAGATTTTCGCTCACTATTCATTCGTAATAGGATACAGCAACCATGTAACAACTGTAGCACCAGAAAGCTGGTACAATTAGCATATATACTTACAGTATTACCAGACACATTCCTTCAACAATATACCTTCATATATTTTGAGAAGTGGTATTTTCTAAAATGTAGAAAATATATTCCAGTTTCTTTCAAATCATATATATCAGTCATTTTTAATACTTTTTCAATATTTCTTCTTGTGTGTCATATTCATGAAAATACATGTCCTTAGCCACACTCATGAAACACATCAAATATTTGCTAATTTGACATAATTCCTGTCATCTCTGATATAACATTAATCTATTATGACATCCTAACTCTATTTTTACATGACATAATTAACTAAGAAAATTAACATAATCTTTTATTGTCAATCCTCCGATTGGACACAATTTTTTGAAATGGAACTTTTTTTCACAAAATCATGAACATTTCAAAGTGATACCTTTCTTTTGAGACACCCTGTATAACAGGAACTCATCAGATTGTTTCTACTATTCTCAAACGTCAGGGGCAGACAACTTATAACTGACTTATAGAATCCCAGGCAAACAAAAACAGAATTCAGTATCTCTGGTAGAATATATATAAAGGTCACCTACTACAAGACTAAAAGATTTTTAAATGAGTTGTTTTTCGCCGATGTGAATAATGGATGTATATCATTCTAGAAAATGAAAAATGACTTTTTTTTCTTTGAAGGAATATTTAAACAAGATCCACGAGAGTCATGAAATATACATTATCTTAGAGAAACTGTTCCACTGTTAGAAGCTTTTATCTGGAAAATTGATTCAAAGCAAACATGTCATGTCGAAACTATAAACATGTCTGTACTGACACAGAACCGATTTCAATTCTGTTATCTGCTTTTGGCTTCTTCAAACCTAGACACATCATGATCAGTAAATGTAATCCCCGACAAGGAAATCAACATCAGATAAAAAGTAACACAACGTATTGATCATCTAAAATTAGACTTTTCATGTGAAAGCTTAACATGTATGATTCTGATTCATAACAGCTGAGTTCCTGCAAAAGGGATGGTTAGGACAAAACCTTGAATCTATTCCAATAAACTACAGCAATATCTCATTATTTTTTCCCTTTGAGAAGTGAAATACAGAAATCTATATACGTTTAAGCAATAATTAACCACAGAACTGTAAAAGAAATATTTATCTATAGATTAGATAAATCAAACAACTGTAATTGGATCTTTAGTCAGGAAAGTCTGACATCTGAACGACTAAATTATCTATGGTAACTGTGTATGTAAATGTATCTTAGTCAGGAAAGTCTGACATCTGAACGACTAAATTATCTATGGTAACTGTGTATGTAAATGTATCTTTAGTCAGGAAAGTCTGACATCTGAACGACTAAATTATCTATGGTAACTGTGTATGTAAATGTATCTTTAGTCAGGAAAGTCTGACATCTGAACGACTAAATTATCTATGGTAACTGTGTATGTAAAAGTATCTTTAGTCAGGAAAGTCTGACATCTGAACGACTAAATTATCTATGGTAACTGTGTAGGTAAATGTATCTTTAGTCAGGAAAGTCTGACATCTGAACGACTAAATTATCTATGGTAACTGTGTATGTAAATGGATCTTTAGTCAGGAAAGTCTGACATCTGAACGACTAAATTATCTATGGTAACTGTGTATGTAAATGTATCTTTAGTCAGGAATGACTGAGGTTTTGAACGACCAAAATATCCACATTAATTATGAATGTAGAAAGTCTCTTTGGTCTATAAATAACAGTACTTGCAACCTTCAAAAACAATGACTAGTTTCCTTGTGTAAACATGCCTTTTTTGAAGGGGCCACCTCGCCCACGGCTCAAAGGTCACATTTAACTAACAATCTATTGTTTAGGATACAATAAAGACAGCTCCTGACTCTAGTGAGAGAGGTTTAGTCAAATATACCACAAGCAGATATACCAGCATTAAGTCCTAGTCTTTGACAACATTCTTATGAGTCAATCAATGGTAGGATGATCAGGAAGAATATACCTTGGCTTCCATATTTGAGTTTTGGTGAACAAAAAGAGAGCAGGACACAGTTTAATCTTTTGAAAAAGATGGCAGGGCAAAGGGACCTGCTGTCTTGTTCTAGCTGGAATACCGGTTGACTAGAAATGGTACTGATATGACAACAGTCTGTAGTAATGGTATTGATATGACAACAGTCTCTAGTGATGGTGCTGATATGACAACAGTCTGTAGTAATGGTATTGATATGACAACAGTCTCTAGTGATGGTCAATATGTATGATGTATATGGCTACCTAAATTTGTGGCAATGAGACAGCTGGCCCTGAATATCAATGGTGGGTTATTCATGGGAGCCATGGCATGTGTTGTCCCAGAGAGTTATAAGTACACGTAACAGTTCTGTGCAGCAGATCATGTCCTACTCAACGAAATATGAATATGTCCCGACAACAGATCACTCAAGTTATCTCACGTATCATCGTATCATCATTCAAACTCATTCCCTAACAGCTTCATGTCAAATTAGGGACGATTACGATACGCTGGAAATCGGTCAACTGAATCAATGACAGGCTGGCATGTGTCATGAGACAGCGACTTGTAGATTTAGACATGGGATGACTTACTGACTTACTGACCTTGTACAGACCTGGAAGTTTGTCGGCAAGGATAATCTGAGAACTGAATTAGTTGTGTAACATTCATTCATTTTGTTTGGTTTCACGACAGTACTATCAACGAGAGATCCCAGAGGGATCTTGGAATCCACCATCTAATGTCCTATGAACATACTACAGATGGGGATTGTTTGCCCTTGTTATGAAGGGAGCATCAGAATACACCACATCTGATATACATTGCTGTTCTTAGTATAGATTTCATATGGAATCATGTTACTGGTGGCTACTGTTCACACTCCCCTGATTTGGTAAAATGGACAAAACTCTGTATAGAATGGTGAAAAGGATTCTAGTCCTTGAGGGTCAACTGCAAAACAGATTGAAGAGCAAGTGACTGACATAAATGGGGATGTCTACCCCTTCTTCTGCAACTATCAATGGCTAGGTGACGGAATTTCAGTGTAGCAAAGATGTGCTCAACTTAACAACTAGTACTAGCCCAGAACACATTGACACTGTGCTCAATCTAGCAACTAGTACTAGCCCAGAAAACATTGACACTGTGCTCAATCTAACAACTAGTACTAGCCCAGAAAACATTGACACTGTGCTCAATCTAACAACTAGTACTAGCCCAGAAAACATTGACACTGTGCTCAATCTAGCAACAAGTACTAGCCCAGAAAACATTGACACTGTGCTCAATCTAGCAACTAGTACTAGCCCAGAAAACATTGACACTGTGCTCAATTTAGTGATAGAAAACCACAGTACTACTCTATTTGAGTTAGCAGAAACAATGTCAGATTGGCATGAAGCATCTGAGTCTCCATCACTTCTATCAGTGAAGCCTTGATAGCTTGGTGCATTGCTAATCATCTGATATCTGTAACCTGGGATGAAACCTGACTCTATCACCGTGATCCAGAGAGTAAACAGAAAGTCAGATATGTTCAAAGCCATCAGGATATGGTTATGGCAACCAACATTTTTGGGATAATAAAGGATTGATTCACATTGACTACCTGCCCCACTGAACCACAATTAATGTAGAATGTTACAATAACCAACTGAAGCAGGTAAGCCAATCAAGCAAGGAGACACAACACAGATATCAAATCTGTTGAGGGATTCCGCTTCACCAAGCTGCAATGGAAGCTGTGTGTGTGTGGTTATGAGTTCCTTCTTCCATCCTTGTCTCCACGATTCTCTAGACTTAGACTCCAACAACTTTCATCTCTTTTTCCAGACAGAAAAAATACTTTGGCCCCAAGCTTTGATGATGATGATGGTGATGAGCTGAGTGCTGCTGAGGAGTGCTAGTGGACCAGGAAGTTGAGTTCTATAGACTTGGTATCAAATGACAGGCAAACTACCTGAGGAAGTGTGTATGGTTGGAAGAGGATTATATTAAGAAAAAGAGCAGTACAAATCCAAGAATCTCGCTCATTTTGAACCAAATGGTTTCTCTAGAAAGAAATCAGCTAGACCTCAAAACGTCTGATTTTAAACATACACCACTGGACACTTGGATCCATTTTTACAAAATTGTATTAAAATACTGCAATAAACAAGAAAACCTGATGATGACCTTAATATTATGATCCTACATCAACAAGTCACTAAACATATATCACAATTAAAGTACTTCATGTTAATATCATCAGGTAACTGACACACATACCTGACCTCTGTAACCTTCATACTGACCTAATTTATCAACCATACACCTGGTTATAATCTTTACCATGTTTATTCCAAAATATTGGGTAAAATTATATTATTACTATAGGGAAAATATTGAATTTATTCATTTGATCTTTTTAACAAGGAAAGATATCATTGTGTGATTTTTACATAAAGACAAAGAGAACACTATATTTGACCTTCATAACATTGAACTTTCATCATTTAACCTTGACCTTAATCATCTGACCATGACCATAACTTTGATATACCTGATATAGATATAGCCACAACAAGGACAAAGTTGAGGATGGATGACTAATGCAGGGCAATTTAAACAGCCCACTACCTGAGAGTAATATCTAAAATTACACTGAAGACCAAGATGACTTCCTATTACACATGATCTTCACTTAAGCAGACAAAAAACATGGTCCATGACATGAATCATGTGTACAAAATTTGAGAATGATCTGTCCACCACAAAGCACAACTTATTTTTCTCAACCTCCGTTAACATTGATATACTTACTGCTATGGTCTTTTCCTTGATGCCTCCCACAGGTAAGATTTTACCAGTTAAGGAGATTTCTCCTGTCATGGCCAGGTTGTGTCGGACAGGCTTTCCTTGGGCAAGTGAAAGTAGAGCAGTCACAATGGTACACCCTGCGCTGGGACCATCTTTAGGTACTGCACCCTGTAACGATACATTATCCTTAAATCAACCTTGGTCATAAGAATCTCTTTTTATCATTATAACAGCTATCTGCACATAAGTCTTTGATAGACGGCTGCAGCTTCTATATATATATATATATATATTGATATTTCTGTTCTCAAATATCTACAAAAAAAAAAACAAAAATAAAACAAAACCCAAGAACAGGTCGCTTAACTTTCCCACTTAACTAAATACTGATGTCAGCAATGCCGAGAACAGTCGTAATAATATAGCTCTGTGTGTCGTCATTATCAACCATTGTATGAAGTAGTAGTGTCACAAATTTAATTTCATTATTGATATGAAAGTGTAAACTCTAGCAATTTTGGAATAATTGCACTATTTTACAATGTATTTTTTTTGTTTGTCTGAAATAAAATTGCCCAATGATATTACATGAAAAAGTGATGCATCTCTCAGCCAGATTTCATGAAACAATGTGTCTAGTGTTTTATCGGGAGTTATCTATGTTTTTGTGTCTTTCAGAAGATTGGAGTGATTTCCAGATTATAATAAGCACTGAAATTATCAATGGAAGTCAATTCTGTCAGTAAGTGACGACATCTTGTTTATAACAGATCCTACATTTGTAATTTGGACTGTCAGATCGATGTCTAGCTGACAAAGTTTACGTACTTGTTAATCTAGTATGTTATTGCGAAAATAATGATTTTGTGGCAAAATTTCACAATTCACAATAACTTGTTCTGTTATAACTTATATCCTTGTAACAATACTCATTCTAACAACTTCGGATATATATCAGTACACTGTAGAATGATAACGTAGTGAAAGTTACTGATTATCAAGGAGACATCGAGATCTATTAATTTCAACTCTGACCAAATCACAGTAAATTATAGTATACAGTCTCGTAGACTACAATTTGGCAGAGTAATGATGTCTAGGCAAATGCATCACAGAATGTAATTATTACATTTATTTCCACCAAGATTACTTTATGGTGGACATCTCAACTTGACCATCGATTGCGTACTGGTACGCTTCACCAGATCGCCATTCCTAGCGTAATACACACCTGGATTACATAGAACTAAGTGGGAAACTGGTGATAGAATGAAATTATATATTAGCAAAAAAAAGAAACAAAAGTTTATTTTTAATGGTTATCATTTTACCTGATTGATGATTAGTTCAATGTTTGGGTTTCTCGATTATTTTATCCTGATTTTTGACTTACGTCACTGCTCTTACTCTCCTTACAATTGACCCAATCAAAGTGTTTATTGCCCTTTGAGGGATATTATTCCACTCCTGAGTAAGGGTCTGTGTGAGTTTAGCGCATTATATGGGATGTTGATGCGCTTCCTAACCCTGTCCAGCTTGTCCCACAAATGCTCAATTAGGGACAAATCCAGACTGTATGGTTGCCAATCAAGAACTGGGACGTTGTTTTGAGCCAGAAAGTCACAACAAACTCTAGCAACATGGGGCCTCACATTGTCCTGCTGCAACGTAAGGTTACGTTGATGGATAAGAGGAATGACATGTGGTGTCAAGTCCTGATCCCATTAGGTTACTACTGTAAGACTGCCATGGATAAAAACACAAGAGGTGTTTTCATGCTTTGAGATATCCCTGCCCATACCATAACACACCTTTCCCTGAATCTGTCAGTCTCCATTTGTATGTAGTGGACCAAGATAGGGACGTTATGGCCTTAAATGAAACATATGGTGTAGGAGTACCCCAGATGCATGCTTTCTTGAAAAATCTGCTAAAAACATGTAGCGTCGAGCAGGGTCAAGGTCGGCTGAATTTTAACCCAAGAACATTTTCACAGTGCACAGAGGTAGCTCAGGGTCAAATTTAATTAAATTCTGTCCACCTGTTTAAAAGTTCTATTACAAAAACCAAACTTGCATTTCTTTCGGTTATTATATGTTATATTGTATAATGTGTGATTGCTATTCAAGAGCATGTCTTACATAGTTTGCTGCAGTTTAAATATATATATCTGTATTGTATAATTTGTTACTGCTATTCAAGAAACCGTATAAATATCATCATAAATTTTTTTGTATTTTACTTAAGTACAAATGAAAGGCCGAATTCTTTTTTTGAATTTTATTTAAATTTCCTAAATCCAACATATGAAATTTGTTGTTAGTTAAAATGCAATGGAATGGCGTGTGTTTTCGTTATAAGGCCACCACTTGTCTTTTGAACATTACATCCTATTAACAGCCACGCCCATTTAAGGATGTGACAGGTTACGGTGACTGAGGGAAACCAGAGACAAGGAGATCTTGGCCCTTAACACAGTCATCTGACATCCACTGCTAGACTGACCACCATCCTCGATACTCCAGGGGTTATCATCACTTTCACTCTCTCCACCCCTGGAACATGTCAGCGCAAAATTGAAGGTTCTATCTGCGACACCTTTTGGACATGACTGAAAGTCGGAGTCTTTGATGTACAGGAAATCATCAAATGAATCTTGAGGCCGTTTAACAGTATATTGTAATGGTTTTGAAGTTGGGTGAGTATCAGCTTGTATTTGGTCAGTTTTTTCCCTGGAACCATTGAAATTACTTAGCTTGTGCCTTCAATTTTGCCATGACATGATTCCACAGTGCAGAGAGTGAACATGATCATAACCCCTGGAGTATTGATGATGGTGGCCTAGCAAGTTCATATTTTGAACATTCTTCAGAAGAATCCAGAAATTCATAAATGGTTGGTTTTGTTTTGTTACAAATTCACTTCTGTGCCTACCAATTCGAAGCTTTGACTTAGCTGAAAAATAACAACATATCATGTGTTTCTTTTCCTTAAAAAATTAAACAAATATCTTTTGTCAAATGTGTGAATGAAATTGGACAAGTAATTCAGACTTCTTGTTCAAGATGAGCTATGCTCGATTTTGGACCAAACCTAAATATTAGATTTGGTCAGGACAATATCATGATCAGTTCATGCAGGTATGGTATCATTGCCACTCCCTAATAATGTTTCAGACCACCCCCAGGTCCCTCAGGGTCATCTGCCATGATTTTTCAGGCCAAAATTTGGTTGAAATCGGCCCAGTACCTGGTGACTGCCCTCATGTAGGCCTGGAATCCTGTGACCCAGAGGTGGAGGGCTAGTTATAAAGACGGTCAGATACTGTAACCACTCGGTTACAGTAACCCTCATTAGAGACACATCAGTCTTGTTGACTATACATAATGACAGTTAATAAGAATCCCCAATGAAAGCATTGTGTGTACTGCCAGGATCATACACTCACACCTTGCCTTTTTCTATTACATTCTAGCACTCCTTCCTGATGTAACATGTAACAATCCTAGGCCAATCAAGTCTTTATATACTATATACACCTACACAGTAAAATACCTCTGCTGATCACACAATAGAAAACCTGAATCTATAACAAACGATTTCTCTAAAGGCGAAATTTATCATCATGGTAACAAGTAGTGATAACACAAATGAAAAGTGATAATGACTGCCCCCTCGTTTACAAATAAGAATCAGATCGGGTGTAGAACATGATGCTATGATATCATATGGGGTACACATGAACATAATCTGTTGAGAGATTTTCATGGCTTGACATTGATTTAGAGGAGGACGTGACAGGACAGACCAATATGGTTTAAACTATATGCCCCCCATGAAATTGCTGAGGGGCATGATCAAGGAAAAATAAATGTACTGTAGATTAATATATATTTTGGACAGGTGTATCCAACACTTACCTCAGGTAAATGAAGGTGAACTAGACCTTTCTGAAGAAAGTCGTTGCTGGAGAGCTCGCTGACCATGAAAGACTTGGCGAAAGTGTAGGCGAGTTGTACACTTTCTTTCATCACATTGCCCAAGTTACCAGTCACCTCTATACTGCCAGTCTCTGGCTTGTCACCAGTACTGGGGCTGTCCAGCGGCCTCTTCAGCACCGTCTCAATAAACAGGGTAGATCCACCTGACATTAAAGAGGATAGTTTTTTATAAGTTTTCAAAATATTCAGATTCAAATTAGAGTTTGAACTTCCATTCCTTCTTGGCTTTGACAGTCTAGAATCATTGCTGTAAATCAACTTTGCAACAAGTTTACAGGGAATGATCATTGCAAAATAGACAATATCATGCAATTCCATAACTGCTGTACACCATCTGTCTTAATTAATAGAGATAAGCTTTTATATAATTATGACAGTGAAGCTCACAAAGTTTAAGAGCATAACAAAGAAAGTTGGTTTACAATAGGCAACACAACATTTCTATACGTTTAAGTATGTTAAGTAAGCAGTGTTAATACTGACCTGTATTGACCTGAAATGAGCTACCAAACCTACCAATAGCTGTCCATAACTATAAACTGACATATAATGAACAAAAAACCCAGTAGACCTACCCATAGCTGTCCATGCTAGGCCTGTAACAACTCCTGGAGGGTTAACTTGGTACATTCTGTCAGATGTAAACAGTGGTTTGCCAGCATAATCCTTTAAAGATTCTGTATCCACCTTCAGATGTTCAGCAGACTCTGTGATAATCTTCAGGGCAGCTTTCCTATATATCTGCATATTACCAAGACAAAAATTTTTATATATTCTCGTTACATAACAAAGTCACAAAATTTTCACAGAAAAATGAAATATTTGCAAAATGTTAAAACTTCATAGAAATGAGAAATATGTGAAACATCAAATTATTTTTACAATACATGAAAGTATATGATACCTTTTCTATCTGCTTCTGAAGGTTTCGAACCCCACTCTCCCTACAGTAAGATTTTATCAGCGTTGTCATAGCCTCATCCGTGATATTGACTTTGTCTTCTGTCACTCCAGTCTGTTTCTGAGTCTGTGGTACTAGGTATTTCTGATAACAAAATAAACCACAAACATTCGAATGAGATAAATCAACACAATTCTGAATTTATAGTAGCAGGTATCTCTGTAAAAAATGAAAGGCCCATGGTCCTCAACAGTCATCTGACTACAAATACCTATATATTGAAAGAGGCAAAATGGGCTTAAATTGCTCAACTTCCCTACAGCTTAAAAAGACATTGACAGTTTATCACAAAAAATTCTGCAAACTTGAAATCCTGTTCTTTATACACTATACAAATACCATGACTCTGGATCTATTGCTTGTTGTAAGAAGAAATAATAAGATCTCAACATATTTAACCCTGTGACCTTGAAAGTACCTGCAGGTCAAAGTCAATCATTTGAATAAAACTGTTAGCCAATCATCCAATGATGTGTATGTTAAAGAACCAATATCAACAGCCTGGACCTTTTGGTTATTGAGAAATAGTCTTTTAAAGCTTTTAACACATTTGACCCCTGTGGCCTTGAAAATCTGTGAAGGTCATTCATATGAAAAAATTTGGTAGCTAAACAGAAGATTCCTCAGTCTTTCGGTTATTGAGAAGAAGATGAAACATGATGGTTATAGGTCATCCTGACCCTTCAGATCAGAGGACCTAACAAAATGTAGTCTTAAGTAAATACAAAAGCCCTAAAGGAATATATACGATTGTCACATTCCTGGCAGATTTAAGGACCTCTATTTCTACCATGTCAGTGGTGCCCACCATTCTGTATTCGTATATCATCACTTGTTCTGATATTGTAAAACATAAATAGAAAATATTCCTGGTTGAATAACAGCTTCATTTTATCAAGTGGCATGCTTATTTTTATACTTCATGGGTTCACAGCACAAGTGAAAATATGACAGCTTGCACCCTGTAAGACGAAATATAACTGTTACTTGTCAAGAAACAAGGCATATTCTATCTAATGCATTTTTTCTTACTTTTCATTGAAACCAGTTAGAATTTACGGTATTGTCTATAGGCATGTTCTGGTATTGTTATCTGGTCAGATAATATACAGTAATTTCTATCTATTTAAGACACAAATATTGAAATAATTCCAAATAAAGTAAATGCAACACATGAAACACATATAATTGAATTCAAATTCACACAATTAAGTAGCAGTTTGGGAAAAATCAATATTTTCACTTTAAATACTATGATTGGTTGATAAAAAGCAGTGAAAATATCAAAACTTGTTACTTTCACTTGATGAAAATATCGCTCATGTCTTCACTGTAAAACCTTATATATCACTTTTAAAAAAAAAGACTCTTTGTATAGAAACGTTTGTTGTTATCATGAGTATATATGTTAAACTATGGAAATATCGAAAATAGAACTTCAAATGAAAGAATAAAGGTATCCACGGAGGTCCTTACACTTCCAATGATGTATAAAATATGAAGTACCTATAACATTTCATGTAATGCAGTAAAGAAAGTTTAAATAATCACAATTTCTAGAGTCATGTACTTGCTCTATCAAGTTATACAAACCAAAAGTAAAACACTAACAGTATTATCACAATGCAGTACACACTGTCAACATCATCTTTTTGTCAATGGTGAAAATGTTCAGAGTTTTTCTTAATGCTTGAGGCAGAAAAGATCACATCATTTCACCGATGGCATGAAATAGACTAAGGTTTTGTGGAAGAATCCTATATTTCAATAATTCTACTTCTCGTGATTTTACTCTGTCCTAGAGTGAAAAATAGACAAGAGGCCATGACTGTCACCTGAGATAAACCATACTAAATATAAAGTTACAGGGTAAATAGCTTTCAAGTATCATGAAAAAAGAAACTACAACATTGATGATAGCAATCCAGTGTCAATACATACATACCATCAAAACTGCCATCCGATACTAATAGTTCTCGTAAATTTATTTTCCAATAAATAATAAAAAATTTTTATGCTCAAAAATCTATTTTTCCTATATTAACTATAATAAACTTTACCCCCTCCCCAAAGACAAATGTGACACCCTGGGGGGTTAAAATTCACTTTGGTTAAGCACCTTAAGACTCTCCCATCCAGGAAGAGGATGTTAAGTTATCCTTCTATATATGGGTGTTGAGAAGAATATTTTTCATATTTGAGTCAATTATGGCCCCTCCCTTCAGCTCTTAAGGGTAAGCCAGGATCAATATAAGCATATTATCAAGCTGTCCTCCTTGACTCATAATTCTAACAAAGTCTGAAAGATTTCAAATGGAAATTAAACAAATTACTCCAAAAATGTACTTTTCTGATATAAACTATAGTAAACTTTACCTTCTCCCCAAGGGAAATGTAAGACCATGATCATTCAACCTATCAAGTTTTAAAGAAATCATTTAAAAACAGAAAAGTGTCTTCTGAACAAGACTAACACTATGGAAACAACCAAGGGAAGTAATTCTTCCATATAGTCAAATCAAACTGACATTCAGGAAAATACAATTTCATGTCATGGTATTAAGCCTTGAGAGAGATCTCCAAATGAGATTAACATCATAAAATCGACCAAGGGCAGTAACTGTTCCAGATATGGTGACATCAAACTGACGTTAAGGAAAACACAACTTTGTGTCAGGGTAATTAAGCCTGCCAAGATGGAAGAGATTGGTTGAAATTTGTGGAAGAGGATCTCTGGAAAAATAAGGTTATGATGGAAGGATGAACGCAATACCATAATATGTCCTGAAAAAAGTTTTGACGCGCACATGAAAAATATCTATGTTTACAGAAATACATTTCTGATGTCCCCACTAGTCAATAACAAGCTATTTGTAAGTTACATAAAATCTCTTAACCTTGGCAGGACTTCAATTTGGGGATATGAAAGACAAGATCATACTTTAGGTTCTTGGTTGGTAATATTGGAATCTTTCACATCTCTCTTCATATCCAATGGGATGAGTCAGATATATGTGTGGCAGAAATGTACATTCATGTTGATAGGAAACCATTCAAAGAGTTTCCAACCCTATGGTGTATTGGATGAAGTAATGTTACACCCACATATCTTATTTCTATAAATGATCCCTCCAAGAATGATACAGGTAGTAGACCTTCCTGCTGATGTGCTGGAAATCAAGTTTATACAGAACTTCAGACTGAAATTATTACATAATCCAATCCCCTGTCATCCACAGAATCCCTCACAGAATCAATGATAGACAATGTTTAAATATAGCCTAACTGATTCATCTAATTGGCTTTCTATATAAAAGCATACATTTGTCATATTTTCTGAAAAAAAAAATAAAATGACAGGGGGAAAAATAAAGCATAGGAAAATGGCATTAGGCTTAAAGACTCTGTTTTTGTAGGTGATAAGGCTACAGACTGCAGGAATACCAGGGGACCTGACTACATTCTTCTATTGTAGCAGACAGGCCATGCCATTCATCTAAGCTCCCACCCACACAATCACCCTGAATCCCTACCACTGTAAGTATCTCCACAAGTCAGAAACAGCTTAGAACCAGGAACAGCAGAACCAGCCAGATATAAGGCCATTCTTAATCATTTCTGGGCCACCAGATAAAACATACCATTTATTTTTTGTATGGTCTTGTCTAATAAGTGGCATGAAATAAACATACCATTTGTTTTGTATTGCCTTGCCTATAAGTAGTGAAGTGGCACCAGAACACAAACATTGCAATTAATTAGTATGTCATTACCCAAGGTCATACATGAACCAAAACATATTGAATGACACTGCCTGATTATCAACATCAGAAAATGTTGTATATGTATTTACTTTGTATGGTCTTGTTGAAATACCACTGCATCATATCGACAACAAAATACAAAGACAATTACCTTATTGAATAAGCATATTATATGATACATCCAAACCTCGCTGATCATTCCCTAACCTCGCTGATCATTCCCCAACCTCGCTGATCATTCCCCAACCTCGTTGATCATTCCCCAACCTCGCTGATCATTCCCCAACCTCGGTGATCATTCCCCAACCTCGCTGATCATTCCCCAACCTCGGTGATCATTCCCCAACCTCGGTGATCATTCCCAAACCTCGGTGATCATTCCCCAACCTCGCTGATCATTCCCCAACCTCGCTGATCATTCCCCAACCTCGCTGATCATTCCCAAACCTCGCTGATCATTCCCCAACCTCGCTGATCATTCCCCAACCTCGCTGATCATTCCCCAGAGACATCAAACTGCTAAACATCTAAACTATCTAGTTTCCCCATCCAAATTCTTCTACTACTTTTTAATGCTAAGTTACAGTAAGAAGGTAACTTTTAGTATCAACACTACATTTTAACATGACCTGGCATATCAATACAGGCAACTGAATCTTTATCTGTTGATGTCAATGAAATAATTTCTAGCAAAAAATCATCACAGGGAAGAATTTCTGACCAGTTAGTCAACCCTTGGAAAACTTCAATGAATGACACAAATAATTGTACCAAGAACTTGTACAAAGGGAGACAACTATTGAATGAGTTAGGAACCAAACCATCATCAGAAGAAAATCTGTTCTCTCTAAATATGTGTCCTTCATGCACTTATTGTCATATCAATGTGGTTTTAATCAAGTGTGAAACTGCATCTAAACCATCTCAGTAATATCTAGTTTTGAGGCAAAATTTCATAGGATAGCATATTGATTATAACTGAAGTCCCATATGTCGTTTACAGCAGGCAGTGTGGGAGTAAGTAATACAAGCTGTCAATGACAGCGGCTATAGAGACCTGATTGTGTTCAGTAATGTCAGTGTGTTTTCTAAACATCATACGACTGACCAATACACACATCATCAGGAAATATTATCACGTTCTTTGACATCAGATAGTTTGATGTTACGCTATTTTGCTAATAGATTGAAAAGTTCATGTAACCTATAGCCTGGCAGACATTGTTACTATATAACCAATTGATTTAATTGAATAAAATTCTTTACATGAAAATTCTTCATAACTAATAGATTCAGTTGAATCTATCTGTCTATCAATCACCACAAATCCCAATCTACCAGTACAGATATGTCTGTCTCTTAAGAAGATCGATTTTATAGGCAGGTAATTTTCTAGATCAGCTGCTAAATGCAGACTATGTTAGTCTGAGAGAACTTGAACTGTTTGGAAGGAATCAGCTGATCTACTATATACAAAATATATATCTACATGTAACGGTAGTGCATCATTATCATGCCCAGAACGAACTGCAGAATCACCCACAAAATCATTATTATAATGACCAGAACAGACTGAACAATCACCCACAAAATCATTATTATAATGACCAGAACAGACTGAACAATCACCCACAAAATCATTATTATAATGACCAGAACAGACTCAAGAACCACCCACAAAATCATTATTATAATGACCAGAACAGACTGAATAATCACCCACAAATACATCATTATAATGACCAGAACAGACTCAAGAACCACCCACAAAATCATTATTATAATGACCAGAACAGACTGAACAATCACCCACAAATACATCATTATAATGACCAGAACAGACTGAACAATCACCCACAAAATCATTATTATAATGACCAGAACAGACTGAACAATCACCCACAAAATCATTATTATAATGACCAGAACAGACTGAACAATCACCCACAAATACATCATTATAATGACCAGAACAGACTGAACAATCACCCACAAATACATCATTATAATGACCAGAACAGACTGAACAATCACCCACAAATACATCATTATAATGACCAGAACAGACTGTACAATCAACCACAAATACATCATTATAATGACCAGAACAGACTGAACAATCACCCACAAATACATCATTATAATGACCAGAACAGACTCAAGAATCACCCACAAATACATCATTATAATGACCAGAACAGACTCAAGAACCACCCACAAATACATCATTATAATGACCAGAACAGACTGAAGAATCACCCACAAAATCATGAATCTAATGACCAATACAGACGAAAGAACCACTAACAAATACATCATTTGAATGACCATTACAGACTTTCAGCAGACGTATAATTGCCCCTAAGGACTAAAATAGATATGTCTGACTATGTATATAGAAACTGTATTGACCTGTTGCATTAATAAGGCTAGAAGTTGCTGTTGTTGTTGTCCAATGTACCATATTTATCCAACATGTCCATGTCTGCTAATAAGTCAATCTAAATATACTATCTTTATCTCGCAACATTTCCATTTAATCTATGAAGCTCCTGAAAGATAATGTATCTATCCAACAGCATGCCCATGTATGGTAATAATCCCATTTAAATATACATTATTTATCCAGATATACTAAGCCGCTTGTCTAATTATACCATATTTATCCAATTAAATGTCCATGTCTGCTTATAAGCTGATCTAAATATACCATATATATCCAACAACATTTCCATGTCTGGTAATAAGCCCATCTAATTATACCATATATATCCAACAACATTTCCATGTCTGGTAATAAGCCTATCTAATTATACCATATATATCAAATAACATTTCCATGTCTGGTAATAAGCCCATCTTATTATACCATATATATCCAACAACATTTCCGTGTCTGGTAATAAGCCCATCTAATTATACCATATATGTCCAACAACATTTCCATGTCTGGTAATAGGCCCATCTAATTATACCATATATATCCAACAACATTTCCATGTCTGGTAATAAGCCCATCTAATTATACCATATATATCCATTTAAATGTCCATGTCTGGTAATAAGCCCATCTAAATATACTATATTTATCAAACAACATTTCCATGTCTGGTAATAGACCCATCTAATTATACCATATATATCCAACAACATTTCCATGTCTGGTAATAAGCCCATCTAATTATACCATATATATCCAACAACATTTCCATGTCTGATAATAAGCCCATCTAATTATACCATATATATCCAACAACATTTCCATGTCTGGTAATAAGCCCATCTAATTATACCATATATATCCATTTAAATGTCCATGTCTGGTAATAAGCCCATCTAAATATACTATATTTATCAAACAACATTTCCATGTCTGGTAATAGACCCATCTAATTATACCATATATATCCAACAACATTTCCATGTCTGGTAATAAGCCCATCTAATTATACCATATATATCCAACAACATTTCCATGTCTGGTAATAAGCCCATCTAATTATACCATATATATCCAACAACATTTCCATGTCTGGTAATAAGCCCATCTAATTATACCATATATATCCAACAACATTTCCATGTCTGGTAATAAGCCCATCTAATTATACCATATATATCCATTTAAATGTCCATGTCTGGTAATAAGCCCATCTAAATATACTATATTTATCAAACAACATTTCCATGTCTGGTAATAGACCCATCTAATTATACCATATATATCCAACAACATTTCCATGTCTGGTAATAAGCCCATCTAATTATACCATATATATCCAACAACATTTCCATGTCTGGTAATAAGCTTATCTTAACATGCTTTTGTTCAATATAATCATTTACCTTGTTTACTCATTGTTCTGTTAATAAGTATATTCCTTGACTTTGAATGCTGTGTTGGCAACCTAGAATTATTGTTTAGTTATATTTCAATACCAGGTGTATATACAGACCCACATTGATCTGTCTAGATATCACACAGGTACTGAATGCAGGTTGATGGTTCTTCTCTGGGAGCTTTCCTCCACCACCAAATCCTTAAATAATGCTGACTGTTTATACGACATGAAGCAACAATAAACCAACCTGATCTAAATATAGGACTTTGTGGTTCACCTCTAGGCTAAACACACTTCCTGAACACACTTTACAATGTTGAACCTTCGTTGTTCTTACACTATTACAAAAGTGTACTCATAAGTTGTATGATCAGGGGAAAATACAAAATGACCACATCACATAATGTATTTGTCTAAATCCAATCAGTAGATTTCCAGAAATTTTACCGTACAATGTTTGTTAACAGCATGAAAATGAAAACAATTTTTGTCAGCAAATGCTCTGATAATATAACACAAATGGTATTATTGTGTTGGAAATGCTCTGATAATATAACACAAATGGTATTGTAGAGTGACATAAATGCTCTGATAATATAACACAAATGGTATTGTAGAGTGACATAAATGCTCTGATAATATAACACAAACCTATTGTAGTGTGACATAAATGCTCTGATAATATAACACAAATGGTATTGTAGTGTGACGGAAATACTCTGAAAATATAACACAAATGGTATTGTAGAGTGACATAAATGCTCTGATAATATAACACAAACCTATTGTAGAGTGACATAAATGCTCTGATAATATAAAACAAACCTATTGTAGTGTGACGGAAATGCTCTGATAATATAACACAAACCTATTGTAGTGTGACGGAAATACTCTGATAATATAACACAACAGTATTGAAGTGTGACGTAAATGCTCTGATAATATAATGCTCTGATAATATAAAACAAACCTATTGTAGTGTGACGGAAATACTCTGATAATATAACACAAATCTATTGTACAACTGTAGTGTGATAAATATAACACAAACCTATAGTGTGAAATATAAAACAAATGGTATTGTAGAGTGAATTAAATGCTCTGATAATATAACACAACAGTATTGTAGTGTGATGGAAATGCCACAGATGACGCTTTGAAAATACTTAATTGTTAATGAATAAATAACCCCTGTTTTTATAAAAAGGAGAATGCATTATGATTTAGTGTAAAATAATGATACTCATGTTTTTCTATGAATTGCCCTATATAACTTCTAGATATTATAGGTTTAAGAATCAGAGTAGTATGAGAGATCACAGTAATACCTTACAACAGCTTCTACCCCCTGGAACTTTTGGTTAGTCCTATAGACATTTATCAAATCCCTCTGATTGAGTCATGTTTCCAGTTAAGTCAGACAATGAAGACAAGGAATACATACAACTATCTTAAGTATTGTTCTCTACATACAAAAACAACAACAAATACAAGAGAAATTTTTTTCAGAACTTTTTTTTCGTATTGAGTGTAGAAACCTTTCTCGAAATAGTTGATACATTTACAATGTCTCTAATTTATAATGTTCTTTTTCATTTATCCTTCAGGGACATGGAATTATTACTGTATTTATCCTAGTGTAAAAATTTACTAGTAAAGTTTGGGGAGGGCTTGTTTGTGAACTACTCGTAGCTTAATATTTTAAAATTTATAATTCTACAAAATAATAAGAAGGGGCCTTTTTGTGGGCAGGGGTTCATTTGCTGATAAATATGTACAAAGTCTCCCTTCACTCAACAAAAAATATCAATTCTTCCTGTCAGAAGGGCTGGGGGAGAACTATTAGCTTTATTCATTTGAAAAAATGCAATGCCTTCCTTCAGAAACAGTACTAAATACAAAGTCCCCCTTTATTCAACATCTTCTATTTAAAGCCGAAACCTCATAAGGATGCCAGTAGCTCCTTAATTATCTCAAAAATAAAATGTTTGATAATGTCAGACCAGCATATACATAAATTAAGGTTACCTGTGCGATGGCCAGCTTTTCCTCTGCCACATAGCCTGATACATCAATCATTTCCATCCGGTCCTTCAACGGTTCTGGTATAGTATCTGTCACATTGGCCGTACAGATAAACAAAACCTGAAACAGTAATGACAAGAACCAGTGAACCAGAGAACCTGAACCTGACAGATTATTGAAGAACCAGTGAACCATAATCAAGAATTTACTGAACCAGAGAACCTGAACCAGACAGATTAATGAAGAACCAGTGAACCATAATCAAGAATTTACTGAACCAGAGAACCTGAACCAGACAGATTAATGCAGAAATAGTGAACCATAATCAAGAATTTACTGAACCAGAGAACCTGAACCAGACATTGTAATGCAGAACCTGTGAACCATAATCAAGAATTCACTGAACCAGCAAATTTGAATTAGACAAATTATCACCAAACCAGCAAATAGCAAGTTGACACTCATTGAACCAGAGAACATGAACTAAACAAATTATCAATGTCCACAGTCTGTCATGTAAAGAGATTGAATCAGTTATACAGGTACAAGTTTTGTTACCTTGGACATGTCCACTGTGACATCTAGGTAGTGATCAAGGAAATTGGCATTCTGTTCAGGGTCTAGAAGTTCTAGCAATGCAGATGATGGGTCACCCTGCCAACTTCTACCTAATTTATCTACCTATAAAAAACAAAAAATTACAACAAACATTAGACTTCATGGTAGATGGTAGCTTTACGCCTTGTCATCTTTAGAACAAACAGAAAAAGGTTTTGGTTGTTTTTATTTTTAGAATATTGTGTCAAAAAATGTTTAATTCTAATCAATCTCCATGCCAACAGTATATACACTTCTACAGAAATTTATAAATCAATGTCTTAACTATGTTACTGAAGGCACTGAGACTGACTTTATTTTGTGGAGTGATAAAACATCAAATATTGAATTTATTTCATCAGCACATCTAAATTTTGTGACTGGTTTAAAGATTAATGCTACATGTCTCATTATTCATCATCCTACACACCTCATCAATAAGAACTAAAGGATTTTCTGTCTTGGTAGTTTTCAGACACTGGATCATCTTTCCTGGCATGGCTCCAACATAGGTTCTCCTGCAACCCAATACAGAAACATTTTTACACTATATACTGTTGTATATAGCTGACTATCAGCCGTATAAGCTAACCTATATCTACCCTTCTACCCTAACCTTTGAATTGGAGATAATGTGTTGATTGGACTTAATTAAAGACAGTAAAGAAAAACAACAAGGTATAATTATGTTCCTAATTCAGTGATTTTTCAGCATCTAGATATCTGAGTCCTGAGCTTGTGCATTTTTTGTTGGACTTGCCCAAATTTCAAGAACCTACTATTTCTCTTGGTAATGGAACTCATCAAAATTTTTTAAATGGTGTTCAGACCTGTCTGAAAAATACAACAACAATCAATGTAATAAGAGTTTTATTGTTAGCCGTTTGTGTTTTTACACCATCCTGGATGTGTCTAGATGATTTAAGAGTTACAGACAATTCATTAATGTGATGCCTGTATTACTCAGTGTTTCTCTGGGAACAGCAGTTCAATTTTTATCTTGTTATGTGGGCCAGCAGGAGAAAATTTCCAATTTTGAAGGTAACCAAACAACAACCAATTCACATGGCCAGCTTTCTCTTTGACCCAGATTTTCAGTCTCTTTGACCTAGATGTTCAGTCATCTAGAACCATTCCTCTTCCCATGATGAATCTGATCCTAGACATCCACTGCCCCTCCTTTAGGTTCATCCTTGCACAGAGTCATCATTGATAAATCCTGACATCCATTTTTAAGGCAGTTTGAACATAAGACATCATGCCAAAGGATATATATTTGTAAAACTTACCTGTGACCTTTGATCTCAGCCACATCCGTCATTCCTCCAACACTAAATCTGAAATACTATAAAATATATATAATACAGTAGGATGTCTTAGTTCTGCTAAACAGATCAGCCATCATTGTTGTACTGAATCAAACATGGAACAACACCTGTATTGTATTATATTGAAGTACTTTATCATCCCCTATATTGATATTTTTACTATTTTTTTTAACACCTGTATTGTATTATATTGTATTATGTATTTTTACTATTTTTTTTAACACCTGTATTGTATTATGTTGAAGTACTTTATCATCCCCTACATTGATATTTTTACTATTTTTTAACCCCTGTATTGTATTATATTGAAGTACTTTATCCTCCCCTACATTGATATTTTTACTATTTTTTAACACCTGTATTGTATTATATTGAAGTACTTTATCATCCCTATATTGATATTTTTACTATTTCATATTCATTCAATCTTCATTTATGTATATTAAAACAAAATACAAGTAATAAATGAGTATTAACTGTACAATCTTATTTTCAATTTAATATTACAATATTATCAATCATTTACTTTTAAATTATAACACAATAAATTCACTTGGCAAATGTACATACCAAGGTAAATTAATTCTTTGAAAGCTAAGAGATATTTAATTGTTTAACTTTAATACAGAGGAGATTTACAGTATCAAGGGTTTGAACAGCAACTTAAACATTTTACTGTCACATGTGGTTACTATATTATTACAATCCAGTCACATGTCACAGACTCTGTACTCAATACTTGTGTTTAATTCTTCAGAAACAGGTTAGGACATACTGATAAATATACCCTAGTTTCCAGGTAATAAGTTGTACTAGTATATAGGCTGCAGAGCTATTTATACCATAAACAAACAAAGTGGTGGTTCTAGAAGTTGACATCGTCTCTTAATGATCTATCAATCCCAGGGTGCAATAGCCTATTGTAAACTTCCACAATGTCTTTTTGTAATTGCTATGAAGTAATCATAAATCCAAAGAAGATATTTTTGGGATTCATATTAAAAGGCATGACTAATTAAAATCCAGGAAAATCTTATCTTTATTGCAATTTTAAAATAATCCTGTATACAGTTAGACGAGAAAGTTTTACACGACCTTTTTTCAGTCATAAAGACGGCATGGGCAAAATACTCGTAAACAAGGGTTACACGAGGCTACTAATGTTTGATAAAAACATTCCTCAGACTTATTAAAAATTAATTTTGATAGTGTGTTGAATTTTTTTCAATCACCTTTTTGTTATCCATATATAATAAGCTGCATTGGTATATAAGCCACATGCCTGTCCCATGAGATAAAACTGCAGCTTATAACCTGGAAAATACGGTCTACGTTATGGTCATCTTAATAAGCTTCCTAATTCAGGATGTGTCAGTGGTACATTTCTCCCAGAAAACTTTGTCAGTGTCTGTTTACTCACCTCTCTATTCAATGCCCGTGCTATAGATTTGGCTATGCTGGTCTTTCCCACTCCTGGTGGACCATAGAAACACAGGATCTTTCCCTGGGTACCACCCTTAAGTTGACTAACAGCAATAAACTCCTGTAACACATTGTATATATAACAAACATACTATTATGATGCTTTTCACAATCCTGGACCCATTTATGCCCCAAAATACTAAATATTCAAATATTTCTGAAGAAGCTTTTCAGAATAACTCCCAAAGAACAACAACTTAACCTTGTTACAAATCATTGAACAGAATCTAAATGGAAACAAGTTCTGCTCCAATTTACAAAGAAAATTTTTCCACTATGAAATATCAAATTAACAAAGTCTTTGCCAAGAATGTAAGTAATGGCTGACGTAGGAAAACCCCCAATCCCCTTATCAGGAAATGTAATGTGATTATCTATAAGAGCTCAAAGAAAGTTTCAGAAAAGGCCAAGAGTGACAAACCTTTAATGCTGATATATTATTTAATGCTGTGTAACAATTGATGTTACTATATTATTGTGTACATGTAAAATAAACCTAATAAGGAGTTTATCAAGTACCTGGTATATAAGCTTTACTACATCATTGTCTAATGGTATCTTTATCTCTTTGTTAACGATGACCACTAAGATGTAAGAATGTACAAAAAGATGCCATTATATTCCCCTCTTGTTACTAAGTGTTAAGCATCATGATTAGATTTTCTGTTGAACTATATATCTCACCAGAATTCTGTTTTTCACATCATCCATCCCATAATGATCTTCCTCTAAAATGGTCTTTGCCCTTGTTAGGTCTAGATTTTCATTAGTATGCTTTCCCCAGGGTAAAGATGTGAGCCAATCCAGGTAGTTCCGTGTAACACTGTAAACATCGAATACAATATTACAACTACAGCATCAATACAATGTAACTCAATATTCTTATTGACTGGATATTCTGATGGACTGGATATTCTGTGTTTGATCGACTGCTGTGTCTGATTGACTGGATATTCTGTGTCTGATTGACTGGATATTCTGTGTGTGATTGACTGGATATTCTGTGTCTGATTGACTAGATATTCTGTGTCTGATTGACTGGATATTCTGTGTGTGATTGACTGGATATTCTGTGTCTGATTGACTGGATATTCTGTGTCTGATGGACTGGATATTCTGTGTGTGATTGACTGGATATTCTGTGTGTGATTGACTGGATATTCTGTGTCTGATTGACTGGATATTCTGTGTCTGATTGACTGGATATTCTGTGTCTGATGGACTGGATATTCTGTGTGTGATTGACTGGATATTCTGTGTGTGATTGACTAGATATTCTGTGTCTGATTGACTAGATATTCTGTGTTTGATTGACTGGATATTCTGTGTGTGATTGACTAGATATTCTGTGTGTGATTGACTGGATATTCTGTGTGTGATTGACTAGATATTCTGTGTCTGATTGACTAGATATTCTGTGTGTGATTGACTGGATATTCTGTGTGTGATTGACTAGATATTCTGTGTTTGATTGACTGGATATTCTGTGTCTGATTGACTGGATATTCTGTGTCTGATGGACTGGATATTCTGTGTGTGATTGACTGGATATTCTGTGTGTGATTGACTGGATATTCTGTGTGTGATTGACTAGATATTCTGTGTGTGATTGACTAGATATTCTGTGTCTGATTGACTAGATATTCTGTGTCTGATTGACTGGATATTCTGTGTCTGATTGACTGGATATTCTGTGTGTGATTGACTAGATATTCTGTGTGTGATTGACTGGATATTCTGTGTCTGATTGACTGGATATTCTGTGTGTGATTGACTAGATATTCTGTGTGTGATTGACTAGATATTCTGTGTCTGATTGACTGGATATTCTGTGTGTGATTGACTGGATATTCTGTGTCTGATTGACTGGATATTCTGTGTGTGATTGACTGGATATTCTGTGTGTGATTGACTGGATATTCTGTGTGTGATTGACTGTGTGTGATTGACTGGATATTCTGTGTGTGATTGACTAGATATTCTGTGTCTGATTGATATTCTGTGTCTGATTGACTGGATATTCTGTGTCTGATATTATTCTGTGTCTGATTGACTGGATATTCTGTGTGTGATTGACTGGATATTCTGTGTGTGATATTCTGTGTGTGATTGACTGGATATTCTGTGTCTGATACTGATATTCTGTGTGTGATTGACTGGATATTCTGTGTCTGATTGACTGGATATTCTGTGTGTGATTGACTGGATATTCTGTGTCTGATTTACTGGATATTCTGTGTCTGATTGACTGGATATTCTGTGTCTGATGGACTGGTATTCTGATATTCTGTGTCTGATTGGATATTCTGTGTGTGATTGATGTGTCTGATATATTCTGTGTCTGATTGACTGGATATTCTGTGTCTGATTGACTGGATATTCTGTGTCTGATGGACTGGATATTCTGTGTGTGATTGACTGGATATTCTGTGTCTGATGGACTGGATATTCTGTGTCTGATGGACTGGATATTCTGTGTCTGATTGACTGGATATTCTGTGTCTGATGGACTGGATATTCTGTGTCTGATTGACTGGATATTCTGTGTCTGATTGACTGGATATTCTGTGTCTGATTGACTGGATATTCTGTGTCTGATTGACTGGATATTCTGTGTCTGATTGACTAGATATTCTGTGTCTGATTGACTAGATATTCTGTGTCTGATTGACTGGATATTCTGTGTCTGATGGACTGGATATTCTGTGTCTGATTGACTGGATATTCTGTGTCTGATTGACTGCTGTGTCTGATTGACTGCTGTGTCGGATTGACTGGATATTCTGTGTGTGATTGACTAGATATTCTGTGTCTGATTGACTAGATATTCTGTGTGTGATTGACTGGATATTCTGTGTCTGATTGACTAGATATTCTGTGTCTGATTGACTGATTGTGTGTGATTGACTGGATATTCTATGTGTGATTGACTGGATATTCTGTGTCTGATTGACTGGATATTCTGTGTCTGATTGACTAGATATTCTGTGTGTGATTGACTAGATATTCTGTGTCTGATTGACTAGATATTCTGTGTCTGATTGACTGGATATTCTGTGTCTGATGGACTGGATATTCTGTGTCTGATGGACTGGATATTCTGTGTCTGATTGACTGGATATTCTGTGTCTGATTGACTGGATATTCTGTGTGTGATTGACTGGATATTCTGTGTCTGATTTACTGGATATTCTGTGTCTGATTGACTGGATATTCTGTGTCTGATTTACTGGATATTCTGTGTCTGATTGACTGGATATTCTGTGTTTGATCGACTGCTGTGTCTGATTGACTGGATATTCTGTGTGTGATGGACTGGATATTCTGTGTGTGATTGACTGGATATTCTGTGTCTGATTGACTGGATATTCTGTGTGTGATTGACTGGATATTCTGTGTGTGATTGACTGGATATTCTGTGTCTGATTGATTCTGTGTCTGATGGACTGGATATTCTGTGTGTGATTGACTGGATATTCTGTGTCTGATTGACTAGATATTCTGTGTCTGATTGACTGGATATTCTGTGTCTGATTGACTGGATATTCTGTGTCTGATTGACTGGATATTCTGTGTCTGATAGACTGGATATTCTGTGTCTGATGGACTGTATATTCTGTGTGTGATTGACTGGATATTCTGTGTCTGATTGACTAGATATTCTGTGTGTGATTGACTGGATATTCTGTGTCTGATTGACTGGATATTCTGTGTGTGATTTACTGGATATTCTGTGTCTGATGGACTGGATATTCTGTGTGTGATTGACTGGATATTCTGTGTGTGATTGACTGGATATTCTGTGTGTGATTGACTAGATATTCTGTGTCTGATTGACTAGATATTCTGTGTCTGATTGACTAGATATTCTGTGTCTGATTGACTAGATATTCTGTGTCTGATTGACTGGATATTCTGTGTGTGATTGACTAGATATTCTGTGTCTGATTGACTAGATATTCTGTGTCTGATTGACTAGATATTCTGTGTCTGATTGACTGGATATTCTGTGTGTGATTGACTGGATATTCTGTGTCTGATGGACTGTGTCTGATGGACTGGATATTCTATGTCTGATTGACTGGATATTCTGTGTGTGATTGACTAGATATTCTGTGTGTGATTGACTGGATATTCTGTGTCTGATTGACTGGATATTCTGTGTCTGATAGACTGGATATTCTGTGTCTGATTGACTAGATATTCTGTGTCTGATTGACTGGATATTCTGTGTCTGATTGACTAGATATTCTGTGTCTGATTTACTGGATATTCTGTGTGTGATTGACTGGATATTCTGTGTCTGATTGACTGGATATTCTGTGTCTGATTGACTGGATATTCTGTGTGTGATCGACTGGATATTCTGTGTTTGATCGACTGCTGTGTCGGATCGACTGGATATTCTGTGTCGGATTGACTGGATATTCTGTGTGTGATTGACTGGATATTCTGTGTCTGATCGACTGGATATTCTGTGTCTGATTGACTGGATATTCTGTGTCTGATGGACTGGATATTCTGTGTCTGATTGACTGGATATTCTGTGTGTGATTGACTGGATATTCTGTGTCTGATGGACTGGATATTCTGTGTTTGATCGACTGCTGTGTCTGATCGACTGGATATTCTGTGTCTGATTGACTGGATATTCTGTGTGTGATCGACTGGATATTCTGTGTCTGATCGACTGGATATTCTGTGTCTACTGGATATTCTGTGTCTGATTGACTATTCTGTGTCTGATTGACTGGATATTTGTGTCTGATTCATATTCTGTGTGTGTTTTGATAGTAATTGTTGAATATTATGTGTCAGACTTACTGTGTATTCTGTGTGTGATTGACTGATAATCTGTGTGTGAACTGAAACTTGGCCATTTCTTCATCTATCAGAGTCTTCACATGTTCTGGTATAACCAAATCCTGATACATAAAAAGTACAAGTAAAATTATTGGGAAACAAAACCTCACTTGGTAGCATCTAGCATGAAACTATGAACCATAAAACTTAGTAGCAAGAAACACAGACTGAACTTCAAATAATTTCAGTAATATTGCTTTGTGGAAACGCGTTAAAAGACTGGGTACTGTACAAGTAGTGAATTCAACTTTATAATTAACTGCATGTATCCTCTTTTCAGAAAAAATTCTGCAAGTTCTGTTGTGGTATTTGAAAAAAATAACCCTGGAAATTTGAAAATAAACATTAGTTTAGACGGTGGATGACCTTGTACTGACCTTTAGCCTCTCCCTGAATTTCTCCTCTATGGTATCCTTGTCATCCTTCTCCATGCCCAGACTCTTCTTAATGTGTTTGAGCTGCTCTCGTAGCATGTATTCCATGTGCTGTTTTCTCACCTTCTCCTCTACCTAGTCAGGTCAGATACCAATCAGGACAGATATCAATCAGGACAGATATCAATCAGCACAGACATAAATCAGTACAGACATAAATCAGTACAGATATCAATCAGTACAGACATCAATCAGTTCAGACAGGACATACAATCAGTACAAATATCAACAGATATCAATCAGGACAGACATCAATCAGTACAGATATCAATCAGTAAAGACATCAATCAGGACAGACATCAATCAGTTCAGATATCAATCAGTACAGAGACAATTAGAACAGACATCAATCAGGACAGAGACAATCAGGACAGATATCAATCAGGACAGATATCAATCAGTACAGACATCAAAGGACAGACAAATCAGGACAGACATCAGGACAGACATCAATCAGTCAGGACAGAGATCAGATATCAATGAGTACAAACATCAATCAGGACAGATATCAATCAGGACAGACATCAAACAGTACAGACATCAATCAGTTCAGATATCAATCAGAACAGACATCAATCAGTACAGATATCAATCAGGACAGACATCAATCAGGACAGATATCAATCAGGACAGACATCAATCAGTACAGACATCAATCAGTTCAGATATCAATCAGGACAGACATCAATCAGTACAGATATCAATCAGGACAGACATCAACCAGGACAGACATCAATCAGTACAAATATCAATCAGGACAGACATCAGTCAGTACAGATATCAATCAGTAAAGACATCAATCAGGACAGACATCAATCAGGACAGATATCAATCAGTTCAGATATCAATCAGCACAGATATCAATCAGTACAGACATCAATCAGCACAGACATCAATCAGGACAGATATCAATCGGTACAGATATCTATCAGGGCAGACATCAATCAGGACAGACATCAATCAGTACAGATATCAATCAGGACAGACATCAATCAGGACAGACATCAATCAGGACAGACATCAATCAGTACAAATATCAATCAGGACAGACATCAATCAGTACAGACATCAATGCGGTCCAGAAAACTAGAGGGACAGACATCAATCAGGACGGAGACAATCAGGACAGATATCAATCAGTACAGATATCAATCAGGAAAGACAACCATCAGGACAGAGACAATCAGGACAGACATCAATCAGTACAGAGACAATCAGGACAGACATCAATCAGGACAGACATCAATCAGTACAGACATCAATCAGTACAGATATCAATCAGGACAGACATCAATCAGGACAGAGACAATCAGGACAGACATCAATCAGGACAGATATCAATCAGGACAGATATCAATCAGTACAGAGACAATCAGGACAGACATCAATCAGGACAGACATCAATCAGTACAGATATCAATCAGGACAGACATCAATCAGGACAGAGACAATCAGGACAGAGATCAATCAGGACAGACATCAATCAGTTCAGATATCAATCAGGACAGACATCAATCAGTACAGACATCAATCAGTTCAGATATCAATCAGGACAGACATCAATCAGTACAGAGACAATCAGGACAGACATCAATCAGTACAGAGACAATCAGGACAGACATCAATCAGGACAGAGACAATCAGTACAGATATCAATCAAGACAGACATCAATCAGTACAGAGACAATCAGGACAGGTATCAATCAGGACAGAGACAATCAGTACAGACATCAATCAGGACAGAGACAATCAGGACAGACATCAATCAGTACAGAGACAATCAGGACAGACATCAATCAGTACAGAGACAATCAGGACAGGTATCAATCAGTGCATTGTTTTGGTACTAGATTTAGTATAACTACCGTGATTATTCATCAGAATCTGTTTCATCATAAACAAGTACATTGACAAAAAAATTCAAGAAAAATTCTGAGAGTAGAAATGTAATCTTTGAACTTTATATATAGAAATACATTGGCAACCAAAACTCTTCCAGATATTATTGTATTACTTATTAAGTTATGAAGCAACTTATGCTGTGCGAATGTTATATAATTGGGTAGTATAGAGAAGATATGATAGACCATACAGTCAGCCGAATTACCCCAAAACCTTTCCTGCTACGTTAGGTAATGGAACCCAAAGACCTTATGAAGTTTCATGGATATTAATTGAAAAATCATTCCACAGATGGGAAAGATTTTTGAAGCAGATGGTACTTTAAGCAGAAAGCGACTGTCAACTGACTGAAAAAGTAAATGGTTTTCTCACCTGCTCACGGATACTTTTCTGTAACTTAATCATCTGTAATTCCTTCTTTAGCAGTGACAGAGTCAAATGTAGTCGTTTTAATATCTAAAATTACAAAATAGCTAACATCAACAAAATTACAAGCATTATTTATATGTAAAATAGGTCATTATTTATTTCAAAGCCTCTGTTAGGATTCAAACCTAGGACCCTTGGCTTACTAGTCTAACGCTCAACCGCTCAAGATAAAGAGAAGTTCTCTCAAGCCAAGCAGTATATTGCAGCTAATATTTACCAGGGTTTTATATATTTACAAACATATTCATAAATAAAATCCACGTAACTGAGGACTTAAAACCATAAGAGAATACAGGTGTTAAAAAAGAGTAAAAATATCAATATAGGGGACAATAAAGTACTTTTCTTAAGTATTGTATGAGTTCTAGGTACAGATTGTGTCAAGTTGTTTAAATCTGGCCAGAACAATGACCATTTGAAATTTATATTCACCTACATAGTATCAATGGTCTTGTAGGATAATTTTTATCAAATCAGATAAATGTTTGCCTATGAAATTGTGTCTAACTGTGATCACAAGGTAATTTGATAAAACTCAGCAATACTAACACTTAGCAGCCACAGCACACCGAGTCTTACTATCTTAGTTTCACTCGCTGGTTCAGTCATACCTGGGAAGGCATTACTTATATTATATATATGATCATGTGACATCAGATCCAGTAACAGGATCTTCAGGTCAAGTGAGTCAAAATAACAGAATTTACCACAAAACAAGGTGTGTATACCTACATTAGTTTCTTCCATGACTGTCTGTAAATCTTTAGAGTCAGCACCAGTCATTGCACATCCTGAATGAAGAAAACAAAAGGCTGGTTTAAACAACATATTAATCTATTATTTTATAAAATTACTTATATATCAATGACCTTAAAGCTTACATCAGATCTGTTCCAAAAGTTTTATTAAAGAGCCCCTGTTCCAAAGATTATATATTTATTGTTTCAAATAAATCAGTATTAGTGATATAAGAACATTAAATAATTAATCTAGCCAAACAATACCACTCGCCTTCCTTATCCTCATCATCCCCTATTCATCTTCATGGGTTGTCTGTCATACTTAACTAGATCTGACAGGTACACAGGGTTGTCTATCACACTTACCTAGATCTGACAGGTATACTGGGTTGTCTATCATACTTACCTAGATCTGACAGGTACACAGGGTTGTCTATCACACTTACCTAGATCTTACAGGTATACAGGGTTGTCTATCACACTTACCTAGATCTGACAGGTACAGTGTTGTCTATCACACTTACCTAGATCTGACAGGTACACAGGGTTGTCTATCATGCTTACCTAAATCTGTAAGGTATAATGTATTGTCTATCACACTTACCTAGATCTGACAGGTATAATGTATTGTCTATCACACTTACCTAGATCTGACAGGTATAATGTATTGTCTATCATACTTCCAGATCTGACAGGTATACAGGGTTGTCTATCACACTTACCTAGATCTGACAGGTATACAGGGTTGTCTATCATACTTACCTAGGTCTGACAGGTATACAGGGTTGTCTATCACACTTACCTAGGTCTGACAGGTATACAGGGTTGTCTATCACACTTACCTAGATCTGACAGGTATACTGGGTTGTCTATCATACTTACCTAGATCTGACATGTATACAGTGTTGTCTATCACATTTACCTAAATCTGACAGGTATACAGTGTTGTCTATCACACTTACCTAGATCTGACAGGTATACAGGGTTGTCTATCACACTTACCTAGATCTGACAGGTATACTGGGTTGTCTATCACATTAACCTAGATCTGACAGGTATACAGGGTTGTCTATCATACTTACCTAGATCTGACAGGTATACAGGGTTGTCTATCACACTTACCTAGATCTGACAGGTATACAGGGTTGTCTATCACATTAACCTAGATCTGACAGGTATACAGGGTTGTCTATCATACTTACCTAGATCTGACAGGTATACAGGGTTGTCTATCACACTTACCTAGATCTGACAGGTATACTGGGTTGTCTATCACATTAACCTATATCTGACAGGTATACTGGGTTGTCTATCACATTAACCTATATCTGACAGGTATACAGGGTTGTCTATCATACTTACCTAGATCTGACAGGTATACTGGGTTGTCTATCATACTTACCTAGATCTGACAGGTATACAGGGTTGTCTATCACACTTACCTAGATCTGACAGGTATACTGGGTTGTCTATCACATTAACCTATATCTGACAGGTATACAGGGTTGTCTATCATACTTACCTAGATCTGACAGGTATACAGGGTTGTCTATCATACTTACCTAGATACCAGGGTTGTCTATCACACTTACCTAGATCTGACAGGTATACTGGGTTGTCTATCACATTAACCTATATCTGACAGGTATACAGGGTTGTCTATCATACTTACCTAGATCTGACAGGTATACAGGGTTGTCTATCATACTTACCTATATCTGACAGGTATACAGGGTTGTCTATCATACTTACCTAGATCTGACAGGTACACAGGGTTGTCTATCATACTTACCTAAATCTGACAGGTAAACAGGGTTGTCTATCATACTTACCTAAATCTGACAGGTAAACAGGGTTGTCTATCATACTTACCTAAATCTGACAGGTAAACAGGGTTGTCTATCATACTTACCTAAATCTGACAGGTATACAGGGTTGTCTATCATACTTACCTAGATCTGACAGGTATACAGGGTTGTCTATCACACTTACCTAGATCTGACAGGTATACAGGGTTGTCTATCATACTTACCTAAATCTGACAGGTATACAGGGTTGTCTATCATACTTACCTAAATCTGACAGGTATACAGGGTTGTCTATCATACTTACCTAGATCTGACAGGTATACTGGGTTGTCTATCACATTAACCTAGATCTGACAGGTATACAGGGTTGTCTATCATACTTACCTAGATCTGACAGGTATACAGGGTTGTCTATCACACTTACCTAGATCTGACAGGTATACAGGGTTGTCTATCACATTAACCTAGATCTGACAGGTATACAGGGTTGTCTATCATACTTACCTAGATCTGACAGGTATACAGGGTTGTCTATCACACTTACCTAGATCTGACAGGTATACTGGGTTGTCTATCACATTAACCTATATCTGACAGGTATACTGGGTTGTCTATCACATTAACCTATATCTGACAGGTATACAGGGTTGTCTATCATACTTACCTAGATCTGACAGGTATACTGGGTTGTCTATCATACTTACCTAGATCTGACAGGTATACAGGGTTGTCTATCACACTTACCTAGATCTGACAGGTATACTGGGTTGTCTATCACATTAACCTATATCTGACAGGTATACAGGGTTGTCTATCATACTTACCTAGATCTGACAGGTATACAGGGTTGTCTATCATACTTACCTAGATCTGACAGGTATACAGGGTTGTCTATCACACTTACCTAGATCTGACAGGTATACTGGGTTGTCTATCACATTAACCTATATCTGACAGGTATACAGGGTTGTCTATCATACTTACCTAGATCTGACAGGTATACAGGGTTGTCTATCATACTTACCTATATCTGACAGGTATACAGGGTTGTCTATCATACTTACCTAGATCTGACAGGTACACAGGGTTGTCTATCATACTTACCTAAATCTGACAGGTAAACAGGGTTGTCTATCATACTTACCTAAATCTGACAGGTAAACAGGGTTGTCTATCATACTTACCTAAATCTGACAGGTAAACAGGGTTGTCTATCATACTTACCTAAATCTGACAGGTATACAGGGTTGTCTATCATACTTACCTAGATCTGACAGGTATACAGGGTTGTCTATCACACTTACCTAGATCTGACAGGTATACAGGGTTGTCTATCATACTTACCTAAATCTGACAGGTATACAGGGTTGTCTATCATACTTACCTAAATCTGACAGGTATACAGGGTTGTCTATCATACTTACCTAGATCTGACAGGTATACAGGGTTGTCTATCATACTTACCTAAATCTGACAGGTATACAGGGTTGTCTATCATACTTACCTAGATCTGACAGGTATACAGGGTTGTCTATCATACTTACCTAGATCTGACAGGTATACATGGTTGTCTATCATACTTACCTAAATCTGACAGGTATACAGGGTTGTCTATCATACTTACCTAAATCTGACAGGTATACAGGGTTGTCTATCATACTTACCTAGATCTGACAGGTATACAGGGTTGTCTATCATACTTACCTAAATCTGACAGGTAAACAGGGTTGTCTATCATACTTACCTAAATCTGACAGGTATACAGGGTTGTCTATCATACTTACCTAAATCTGACAGGTATACAGGGTTGTCTATCACACTTACCTAGATCTGACAGGTATACAGGGTTGTCTATCATACTTACCTAAATCTGACAGGTATACTGGGTTGTCTATTACTCGAGTGTCTGACTGCAAAAGCTGGGCTAGTGCTTCTCTGGAAATTATGTAACAAAATACAATAAATATTTTACTGATGCCTTGAGTGGAAAATAATTTCATATCATTTTCATCACATGATCAATTAATTGCAAACACTGCAAGAAAACATCCTTTCCCCATTAACTAAGAAGACCTCTTGTCTCTGTATCTATGGTTTCCATTGTGATATCACAATTTGATATGGGAATGATTGATGTCTAGTTATAGTTTGTGAACATACTAAAATCCTCTTGTATTTTATTGTTAAACAAATTTAAAAAGCATATAATTTATAATGTTGACCTGGATAGTGTGGGAGTCTACATCTCTTCAAGACCACCATGGAAGCAAACATTTGTCATCTTGATGAAAAACGAGTGTACACACATTTTGACTCGGCTGAATCACACTTACCTATACACAGGGTTCATGCTGATGACGTCCTGAATAGTCTTCACAATCTCAGATGTGACTGCCTGGAAATTGAAAAAGAAAAACTCTTCATACAATTCAGGTGAAACTTAAAACACAGTCATTTTTATCACTTCTATTTCTATTACTCCGGGCACTAACAAAGTGCTTGTTTAAATGTACTTTACTACAAACAAGATATTTTTTAAATTTCCACAGAATCAATCTAATCTCATTGAATCTGTGACCAAGGCCAAGTATATCATTATCCTGGATCCTGGAGCAGTGATATCAATGAACTGTAAATGATAAAAAAAATGCTGTACTGTTTCTCAAGCTAGAACTATCCAGAATATCCTTCCAATTTTACAGAAAAATTTGTATGTATATTTTCTCCATTTATACAGCCACATCTTGCTATAAAATTCAGCTAGAAAAAACCCACTGTGGATATGGAAGCTTTGGATAAATGGACACTTCACATAACCAAACTCTATTAAGGAAACGTTTCTTGTTCCACAGTTCCTGGTATGAAGCTTTAAAGCAGTATTCTGGTATCTTTTCTTATTTAGGAGAACATTCAAATAAGGCATAAAAGTGTGGAGTTGTGAAGAAAAGGAATAAGGAAACAAAAAGGTCCTAAATATATCAGTGGGTGTAGCAAATTAATTGGACATTCTCATGTTAACCAATTAGAGGGCATGAAATTAAATCCCTCATTCTGCTAGAGGTTTTCAAAATGGTCACTCCTTACAATCTTAAAGACATTATGTGCATTCTTTTTGTTCTTCCCGAACTTGTATGGGTAAGAACCTCATAAACACATATCCATCTGCAAAGGCTGTATCAAGATTTGGATATCACTGGTTTACCACAAATTAGTGAAGCAATAAGCCTGATATATCACTAGTTTACCACAAATTAGTGAAGGAGTAAGGCTGTGATATCACTAGTTTACCACAAATTAGTGAAGCAATAAGCCTGATATATCACTAGTTTACCACAAATTAGTGAAGGAGTAAGGCTGTGATATCACTGGTTTACCACAAAGTAGTGAAGGAGTAAGGCTGTGATATCACTGGTTTACCACAAAGTAGTGAAGCAATAAGCCTGATATATCACTAGTAGTAAGGCTGTGATATCACTGGTTTACCACAAATTAGTGAAGGAGTAAGGCTGTGATATCACTAGTTTACCACAAATTAGTGAAGCAATAAGCCTGATATATCACTAGTTTACCACAAATTAGTGAAGGAGTAAGGCTGTGATATCACTGGTTTACCACAAAGTAGTGAAGGAGTAAGGCTGTGATATCACTGGTTTACCACAAAGTAGTGAAGCAATAAGGCTGTGATATCACTGGTTTACCACAAAGTAGTGAAGCAATAAGGCTGTGATATCACTGGTTTACCACAAATTAGTGAAGCAATAAGGCTGTGATATCACTGGTTTACCACAAAGTAGTGAAGGAGTAAGGCTGTGATATCACTGGTTTACCACAAAGTAGTGAAGGAGTAAGGCTGTGATATCACTGGTTTACCAAAAAGTAGTGAAGGAGTAAGGCTGTGATATCACTGGTTTACCACAAAGTAGTGAAGCAATAAGGCTGTGATATCACTGGTTTACCACAAAGTAGTGAAGGAGTAAGGCTGTGATATCACTGGTTTACCAAAAAGTAGTGAAGGAGTAAGGCTGTGATATCACTGGTTTACCACAAAGTAGTGAAGCAATAAGGCTGTGATATCACTGGTTTACCACAAAGTAGTGAAGGAGTAAGGCTGTGATATCACTGGTTTACCACAAAGTAGTGAAGGAGTAAGGCTGTGATATCACTGGTTTACCACAAAGTAGTGAAGGAGTAAGGCTGTGATATCACTGGTTTACCACAAAGTAGTGAAGCAATAAGGCTGTGATATCACTGGTTTACCACAAAGTAGTGAAGGAGTAAGGCTGTGATATCACTGGTTTACCACAAAGTAGTGAAGGAGTAAGGCTGTGATATCACTGGTTTACCACAAAGTAGTGAAGGAGTAAGGCTGTGATATCACTGGTTTACCACAAAGTAGTGAAGCAATAAGGCTGTGATATCACTGGTTTACCACAAATTAGTGAAGGAGTAAGGCTGTGATATCACTGGTTTACCACAAAGTAGTGAAGGAGTAAGGCTGTGATATCACTAGTTTACCACAAATTAGTGAAGCAATAAGCCTGATATATCACTAGTTTACCACAAATTAGTGAAGGAGTAAGGCTGTGATATCACTGGTTTACCACAAAGTAGTGAAGCAATAAGGCTGTGATATCACTGGTTTACCACAAAGTAGTGAAGGAGTAAGGCTGTGATATCACTGGTTTACCACAAATTAGTGAAGCAATAAGGCTGTGATATCACTGGTTTACCACAAAGTAGTGAAGGAGTAAGGCTGTGATATCACTGGTTTACCACAAAGTAGTGAAGGAGTAAGGCTGTGATATCACTGGTTTACCACAAAGTAGTGAAGGAGTAAGGCTGTGATATCACTGGTTTACCACAAAGTAGTGAAGCAATAAGGCTGTGATATCACTGGTTTACCACAAAGTAGTGAAGGAGTAAGGCTGTGATATCACTGGTTTACCACAAAGTAGTGAAGGAGTAAGGCTGTGATATCACTGGTTTACCACAAAGTAGTGAAGGAGTAAGGCTGTGATATCACTGGTTTACCACAAAGTAGTGAAGGAGTAAGGCTGTGATATCACTGGTTTACCACAAAGTAGTGAAGCAATAAGGCTGTGATATCACTGGTTTACCACAAAGTAGTGAAGGAGTAAGGCTGTGATATCACTGGTTTACCACAAAGTAGTGAAGGAGTAAGGCTGTGATATCACTAGTTTACCACAAAGTAGTGAAGGAGTATAGCTGTGATATCACTGGTTTACCACAAAGTAGTGAAGGAGTAAGGCTGTGATATCACTGGTTTACCAAAAAGTAGTGAAGGAGTAAGACTGTGATATCACTGGTTTACCAAAAAGTAGTGAAGGAGTAAGGCTGGGATATTGTTGACTTTCACCAAGAAACAGCAGAAGTAGGCTAGGATTTTGCTGACAGACTAAAGATTCAGCATCCATATGTACTCAAAAAAGATGCTAGATACACCATTAGGAAAAAGAGAAAACATGCAACTGAAATTTTCCCACCATTCCCTCAGAAATACACTTACTTTGACTTCATCATTACGAGAGAAAGGTTCATGTTCAATATTTTCCACTTCAACGAAAATGACTCGTTCTGAAGCCCCAGACCCTACTACTTTCACATCCTCATCCTTCAGTTCATTGAAAGTATTTGGTGAGACAATATTGGGAGGTGAAGTGGACACCTCATCTTCAATTGACACATCATCATCTGCCATTGGAAGTGTTCCGTCAAATGATGCAGCCTCTTCTGACAAGACTGAAGCCTCTTCTGCATGTTCTACATCTATGTCATTTGTGTTAACCTCTATATCTGCAGCTGTTATTTCTTCTGTCTCACTCTCTGCTTTCTTTCTTCTCCTTCGCTCCTTTCTCCTATTCCCGTTATTTTTGTTTTTGGCTATTACTTCTGTAACAAAAATATAGACCAACCTTAAATAGTGAGACTATTATTTCTAAAGAAATATTTGTGTAAACCAACAGATGAAATATACGATATTGAGTATTTTTATATACAAATGTTGCTTTCAAATCATTTACCTTGAAATATTTTATAGTTTTACAGAATCTTTCTATGTGAATTTTGCTGACTTTGCAGAAAAGATTCTATGTATCTCATATTGCTATATACAAAAATGCAATATTTCAAAAACATATTAAGCATCTCAGAAAGTAAATAATGTTTTAATGACACTATCTCCCTATGTTGAAACATTAATAATACGTAAATTTCTGAAATTGAAATAAGAATTTCTGAAATCAATTCATTTAAGAAGTGCAGTATAGTCATTGTACTAAACAACTCTGGAAAATATAGTTAATCATAAATATATCTATACAAAAAAGTAAAAAAAATTTGCATAATCAATTCCGCAGCATCGTGTTTCTTGTCATCCCCTCTTTAACTTTCTAAAATGGAATGAAAAAGTACAAATACAACTCCCTCTTCCACCCCCTCTCCCAACCTCAACCCCTCCCCCCCCCCCTAAATAAATAAACACCTTTGTTTTACATTGGATCTAACTTTTAAGCATTCCATTCTCTATATTTACCTTAATATCTAAATTGTCCAATTTACAGTCTGACACAAATTCCTTACCAAAGTTTTCTGCCTCCTTGGTGTCTTCCTCAATGCTATCTGAAGCCAATGCTGTTATTTTGATCCTGGTAATAAAACAGTTAATCAGATAAAATAAAGCGACTCTCTAGGTGTTTACTATGACTTTGAGACATGTATTACATTGTTATTTGTCTGACTCAGTCTTCAGAAATAATTTAACACTGTACACAAAAAAGTATTATAATATAATGAAAACAGGATCCTCAACCCTTACAATTCCAACAGGAAACCATAAAGAGGATTCTGAGGATTCCAGTCTTCAGACATTCCTAAGTAACCATGGCCTATAGGGATACCCAGACATCAGAAATCTTTCAAACAGACAACAATCACAGCGTTATCTACAGGGGTTCTTAAACATCAGAAATCCTTCAAACAGACATCAACCACAGTGTTATCTTTAAGGGTAGTTATAATTAGGTATCAGAAATCCTTTAACAATCAAAGTGTTGTTTGTAAGTTGTTATTTCTTGTAGTTGAAATTTTTGCAGTTTTATAAGAAACTTAAAATACACTAGATGTATTTTTCATGAAAATCATAAAGTGGACTATGGTTTCCTGTACCAATTTTATTTTCAAAATATTCATTTTTGGTAATTTTAATCTATCATCAAAAATCTTCCAAAATAGAAATGCTTGAAATCATGAACCTATGGAACAGTGTGTATTGTGGTATAGAGTGACATTCCGAATGCTGGGTACAATAAGCGATAAATGGATATCAAAATTGTTTGTTAAAACTTTGATTTACCTCTAATGATCATATAATCCAAATCAATTTATACCAAGGAAATGCCAAATCTACACCATTTTTTTACTTCATTTTCTTATCCTTCCACAAATGTTCTTTTTCTGTGAACACTGAAGAAATGTCTATGAAAGAATTAGTACCTTCTGTGAGCAAGAAGCATAAGTCGGAGTTTGCCATCAAACTCTTGAACACTTGTGATCTGTACAAAGGTTCCCATAGAGTACAGGTCATCCAGGTCTTTTACAACATCATCCTCATTGCTGCAAAAGTAGAAAAACATGATTTATAACACCAAAAAAAATAGATCATAAAAAAACACATAAATTTCATAATGCTGATGTCAATTTTGTAATGTTGTAAATAACCAGAAAAACTTTGATACGTCAAGACTTTGAATCATTCGTGGTGTATATTATTGACATTTTCATGTTCATGGTTCCAATTAGTTGATAACATAATATTTCAACCTGAACAAACACAACAAATAAAAAGATGCATTTTATCTTAAATAACAGAACATTTTCATTCATGAAAAAAAACTTAACTTTAAATAGAAATCATTGAGAAATTGATAGTGTATGCTTATGTTTACATTTGTGCCTTCATGTCACACAATATTTGTATTTTACGGATCAATTTTACATGAAACAATGTGCAGCATTAAAGTAGTGTCAAGTGTTACAGTTATTATTTCAAGACTTGAAAAAAAAACTTTATAGGCACTAATGAATTTAAAAGAAATTCAATGTATATCATAACAAATTCTGTCCAGAAACGACAGCACTAAAACATCACACATTCAGTCATAGATATTACATGAAAAATTGTCGATGTTCTGACAAAAGACTAGTCTAAATCAATCAGAGAACACAAAATTAACAGATAAATCACTATGTTCCTCATGCTTCATGCTTAAAACTGAAAAATGGCACTTTGGGAATGAGTGAAATCATCATACAAGTGATAGGATTTTCTCACATTGTTTTCAAAATTCCATTCCATAGACCTAATTAAATGCCATTAGTGCAATGGCGATGGTGAACATCACACAATGTCTCATTATCTTTGATTAAATATCACAGCTTGTAAGTAAGCAATTAAATTTTAATCTGTGTCCAGTCATTAAATAACCTCATAAAACAAAGCACTCTTCATTGAAATGTGTCAAATTTTGCCGCAGGACAAAAATATCTGTACAGCACAGGTAAATATTTTGTTCAAATCAGGAAGTGTCTGTGTTATCACAGCTTACGGTCAGTGAAAAAATCTTTGGTACATCGAAAAGTTTGATTTATAAAACTTTGATTCATAAGGGGTTAAGTTAGAAGTAATATAGGAATAAAATTCAGGGCTTGACAAAAAAGTGTATCGAGAAATTTGAATCATAAAATTTTGATTCACAGAAGTTTGACTGTATGTAAGAACTTTTTTTAATATGAATCAAAATTGTACTAATAAGAAAATTACTAACATAAGTCATTGCATCATCTGTATCTTAACCTAATATCTACAGGTTTAGATGCAGTAAAATATGAAAGAACATGTACAGTTCTTGATAGGTGTTACATTTTAACTTTCAGAAGTCATAATGATAAAACTGACAAATCTGTTCAGACAAATATACTTTTCTATACATTTTCTATGATTTACATAATCCACCAGCAACTTCCCCTGGCAAAATCTGACAAAACTTCACATTCACCTGTCATCCTTTTTCAGAAAAACTCCAGCATATGGTTGATTTAATCTAAGTTTTCTTCGTATAATTTTTTTCAACTCTTCATCTTTAATCTGAAATTCAATGATACAGATTGATCAATATCTCAACATTAAGAAACCAGGTGTCACATCCATGGTAAGTGACAAATCATATATACATGTACACGGATTTCAAAATGGCCATGAAAACAATGAACTTTCAAATTTACTCTGGGATTTAATATTTTATAGAATGCAGTTTTGTTGATATGTGTGAAAAATAGGTAACCAGGATTTATATTTGTAATTAAAAGGATTATTATCTTTTCATCATGGCCCAATTTCCATTAATGGAACAAATGTTAAAGAATTGGTCATGAAAACTGATTACGGTTTCGATCAGCAAACTATTTCAATCCTGGTGTTTTTTATTATACTGAAAGTACAACGGCTAATCATCTATATTCTAATTGACAGAACGCCAGATTCCTCTGCAGGCATGAAATGACATTATACTAACTTCAATCAATTTAACAAATCGTGGAAACACCGGTTGTCGGCTAACAGCGATGACAGGAACTTTCGGATATACATCTGGTATAACAATTGGTGCAAGTGCCCGTAATGGTGGTTTGCTGGGGCTTTCTTCGTCCTGGTAAATCTTTTCGTCTGGGTCCGGGTCCGTGCTGCTACAGAAATGCCTATGTTGGAAACACGATGTTCTTCTCCCATTGCGTACAATACTTGAAGGCAAAGCTGAACTTCTGTATGATGACACTAAATCTCTGTAGGTCCGTGTCTCCGTTGACCGACAAATGTTTCGTCGCTGGACATGATGTAATCGACATTGAGATGAGGAGGCGTTTTTCCCTTCGTATAACGTTTGCAAGCCAATATGTCTGAATGACTTACTTGTGCAAATATAACTCTTGTACCTTCCATGGATCGAATGTGTAAGGATGTTTCTATATTTTACAACAACCCTTAAATTTGTTTGTTTTAAAGCACACGTGCCGACATTTCTCACTAATGCAGCCATCTTTACTTGTTCTACTTCCGGTACAATTTTAAGTTTCGAATGACACAACGGATAAAATATCCGGTAATAATTCTAGGCACATTGGTAGAAAAAGTATGATATATTTGATTATGTTTGGACCTCTTTATATTGTCTTGAGACTTGTCAGGTGTTTTGATTGGTTTTGGGATTTCAAGCTAAGAAAAAGTATAACCTATGACCCAAGACATTGTTTGTGTTTTTTAATATTCAACACATAACTAGAAAAGAACCCCCTCCCCACCTGCACACACGTGTTGTTTGACAGATAGTCGATCTCTCCACATTTTATCATCATTATTCCCACCTCTTCAATTCCAGAATTTGTGTGCCATATCTACTCTCTCTCAGCGAGTTATCGCAGTCCCTTGAAGCATACCTTCAGACAGTATTGAAATAGACAGTGTCCCGAAATAATATTGAAAAGTAATTTCATATCGGTACACTTGTGTTTGTCTCCAATCCTCGGTGTGGGTAATAACTATAAGCACCTTTAGAGTGTAAACTGGCTAGTCTAGTACTTCAACATGTGAAATGGATTGTTGTAAAGTGTTCATGTAACATTATACATGTACATGTGTATCTTCATTGTCAAGTTTTCCTTCTTCCAAGAGAGGCGAACAACAGTAAGTTAAAGTATATGATTATAAATATTTTTACAATATAGCTGACAATATATTTGTCAGGTTGGATGACCATACAATATTGGCATACCCTTAGGGATTTGGCATTTTCAGTCAATTTTCAATGTGCTTATCAGAATAGCCAGTGTAGTATGGTTAAGTGAAGCCCATGATAGAGTGAACCTTGGTTCATTTCACCATAATCATGTTCCTCAATACATTAAAAAAAAAAAAAAAAACAGGGTGGGGAAATTTAGGGTGGGGCAAGGGTTCACTTCACCATAGTTAAGTAAAGCATTACACTATTTTCTTACTAAGTAACTTTTTTTCGCCAATTGTTTTGCAATTCATCCTGATTCAATCATATAAACACATATATAACAAAAACATTGCCTGGGGTGGGGTAGGGGTGGTGTCCCAGGGGAACAAGATCTTCAGTTTATACAAAACTGATTTCCCTTCACCAAAAAATGTTTCAAACCAAATTAGAGCTGAATCCAGACATTCCTACAGAAGATGAATTAAAAGAATTTGCTCTGTTTTTACATATTGGATCATACTTATCTTGCCACAAGTAACAGAGACCCAGCTTTTAAACCAAATTGATTCCCTATCATCAATGGATGCTCCAATTTAAGACAGAATACAATTTCATGTTTTACTCTATTTCCCCTAAGCAGCCCCACCCTTCTGGCCTCATGGAAGGGATTTTAATCAACCTTTACACTCGTAAAAGAACTATAATATCTCGCACAAGTTACAGTTTCAGCATTGTAGGATCAAGGTCAAAATGACTTGCTGTCACTATCAGCACTTTTGCAGCTGAATTCATGAAGGAAACATTAATCAAATATCATAATATTTCTGAAGGACCAATCTGGGACAAGTTGGAGTTTCAGGGTTGTCAAGTCAACGTCAGTGGTACCATTTGTCAGCACTCTAATGGCTTCGTTCATTGGGGGGTTTTGGTCAAAATTCACTTGTCAGTCTACTTTATTGCACTCAGGTAGATGGAAATATAAGGGGATTTGTATTTTTTGGTATGCTTACAGACTGGAAGACATTTCAAACCTTAAATCAGAGGGCTTTTATAAGATTCACTGACAGTACTCTTTAGTTTTAAATAGGTACCGATAAACAACTTTACAGCTCTGAAGACAATCTGTCTGGAATTTTGATTTCAGGAAAAATAATTAATTTAGTATTTATAACTGATAAATACAAGACGATAAATTGGGGAAGGGTTGTGGTGGTTGTAAGAAGGAACACACAATATGACACTCCATGATAATACCAGTATGAAATGATGGGAACAGGAAAAATACAAACTTGTGATCCCTTCTAGTAGCAGTAATTTGATCCCTTTTTACCGCACTGGCAAAGGGGAAAGTGATCCCTTCTAGTAGCAGTAATTTGATCCCTTTTTACCGCACTGGCAAAGGGGAAAGTGATCCCGTCTAGTAGCAGTAATTTGATCCCTTTTTACAGCACTGGCAAAGGGGAAAGTGATACCTTCTAGTAGCAGTAATTTGATCCCTTTTTACCGCACTGGCAAAGGGGAAAGTGATCCCTTCTAGTAGCAGTAATCTGATCCCTTTTTACAGCACTGGCAAAGGGGAAAAAAGTCCCGGAGTCCCTTCAGCAGTATAATAATATATTTCTACAAAGGAAAAAAACTCAAAGATATGTCAAAGTCTTTACTTCTTTATTATTGCAGCTATATCTTACAAGGTCTTTATTATGTTATTACACCTATCAGTACAACTTGATATACATGGTATGTATCGCTAGCATTTTGTATTGGCTATATATAAACATATAATCACTACAGTTTAGACTTGGTCAAAAACGTCTGTAAATTGTGCATGTCACCATTTGTATATAATACTGATATAGGTAGCTACCATGCTGTGATACCTATGACTGCATGAATCTAACACATCTACCTTCATCCCTAGTTTGTTTTAGCATATCACAGAAGCTTTTTGACTGGCTTTGACAAAGACATAATCAATCATACTTATCCTGCATATAAGCCAATGGGGCAAACATTCTTCCTCAATATTGGGGGTGAGCTTATTACAAGACAAGGAAATAGCATCTGTTTGTAATTCTATTGAACAGTAATTCCTATTCCATCTCGCAATATATATGGGTGGGCTTATTATCAGACATGGTCTTATTGCTGGATAAATACAGTGAGAGTCACAACGAAAATAGTTCACTGATGTTGTATTAAGGCAAAGACGATACAACAACTGACAAGACTTAATTGTGCAAAATGGCATCATCTAATAAATATTCAGAGAGCAACTACAAAATTAGCATTTGTGTTACAGTTGAGGATAGCACAGAACATTAACATGTAAAAAGCACTGAGATTAAATTCCAAATTTAAAACTTATTCATAGTTTTTGTTAGGGTTAAGTGTTGCATTGTGTAAAATTAATTACCGAGGTAATATGATAAGTTTAGAGCAAGTAATTTGTATTGCATAGGATAACACATTTTATTCCTGTAGTAACTGATTACATCCACATACATTATACAGCAAATAAACAACAAAAATAATTCACAAAACAGTGGACACACATTATGTAAAAGATTGTTTCAAAGAGCAGCACAGCAGTTCACTAGCTAAATAATCTCAAATAAAGAATGACTCCCGAGTCCACTTATATCACTTGCATTGATAATGGCAGAAAATGCATCAAAATTGATACTGGTAACTTATAAGGCATGGGTATATATACACGTATATAAATTGCTGTACATTCTATGGAAAATATGACATATACAAACAGATAAAGGCAATATATCATGTTAGAATAAATGTTGTCTCACATTTTGATTACACAAGTAAACAAAATTTGCCATCAAGTGGTTCCTAAAGGATGACAGAGCAGGTTCATTCAATGAGCTTTTCTGAATTTGGAAAGCCTAAATAGGAAAACACTGGATTATAAAGTAGACTTACAAAATCATGCACTAGTGTAATCGTTAACAAATAAATCTTGGGACAGTTACAATATTCAAATTTTAAGGATATTGTTATTTTGTTTGAAACTGATATAGCTATCATGGCATACATGGATACAGTAAAACCTTCTTTAACTGAGCCATCTAATCTCGATCCATATCTTTAGTAACATTGACATTTGGTCCTAGCATTTCCATCACACCGGTATATCATATCAGTTAAAGAACATCTGTATCTTGTCAATTTTGATAACCTGCAGTGTCTATTTTTTTTATTTTTTTTCCACAAGTTTCCTACATAAATTGATATTTCAGAAGTTGAAATTTACCAATCCCCACGAACAAGATCATTCCAGACAACATACAGTTCAGACACATGTTATACTGGAAAATGATGGAAGTCCTTCAAACAGGACTTTCTGTAAGGACTGTTGTTCTATGGAGTAAAATTTGTAATTCTTTCTTTTCATGAAGATTTCTTGCATTAATGCCAGAGATTACAACAAAAATATTTGTGTAAGATAAAACTGGGTAAATTTTAATAGAGATTTTTCAATTACCTTCTCTAATAAGCACATTTTATGGAACAGAAGACAAAATGACTAAATGCTAAAAATTCAAACATAAGACATTAATATATTTATGAATAATATTACATCAACAAAATGAGTTATTGTGCCCTCACATTCAAAGAAGAAAAATGAAAGGTCAAAAATAATATGTGTATTGCACCAATGTACAAGAAGCATTTAAAATTGGTAATGTTGTCAAGTGTATTTAATATACTACAATGCCCTTTCTTCAAAAATGGATCAGTTTCCTGTAGTTTTTACCAAGAGCTTACCTGTCTTTCAAAATCTGTGATAAAACTCTACTATGCCTTGTATTAATTTATCGCAGTTAATAATAAAGAGATTCACAACTTATGTAGAAAAGGCTGACTTTTAAGTATTGAATAATTCCAACACTCGCCAATAAGCACCAAAGTACACCATATTAAACATACAAAAATAATTTTACAAAAAGTGAAATCAAAATCAAGTTTCTTCTATATGTACATTTCAGTAAAGATAAGAAAAAAATAGAAACAATAGTTCAAAATAAATAACAAATTTACAAATATTTATGCTTCAATTTGACATTGATTGGCGCTTATCCATGGTCCGCAAAAATCTGTGAATGAAGACTCGAAACCTGTACAAGAAAAACACCATGCTGTGTAATAGAGGGGCTACTAACGAAGCTATCACTACTATGTAGGCTAATGCAGTGCCAGGTTTCTCTCCGTAGTTTAGAGGCTTGTAAATGTAGGGATTTCCATGATGACTTGTACCGCCAGCTAGAAAATACACAAAGGTAAAGAGGCTATAAATGCAGCCAAAAGCACTAGTGTAAATACATTGTAGGAGTCTGGTGGGTGTCCTGGTCACTAGTGTGTCAATTAACACAAACACAGCATTCACACCATGGCTATTGAGATTTATAAATGTATATCCAGAACCTGAAAAAGAAATTGAAAGTTAATATAAATTATTTTCAATTTAATATTTGCAATGATCAATATCATAAGCTTCTAAATTTACTGACTTATAACCATAACTGATATCTCTTATGTAAATTATATATAAAATGACAGTTGTATCATATTGTAAATAATTGGCGTAATTACTAGAACATCAATTAATAGTAATTAAATGTCAACATACTAAACATAAATAGATATTGATAAGAAGTTCTCTAAACAACAGGTCAAGTAGACACTTCTCACCTAGTATTCAATGTTTTTTGCAATCACATCAAAATAAAACTTCCTCAAACCTATTTTTCCACACTGACAGATCCTTGTTTGAAAGATATTTACCCATTAGAGTTTAACTTAGAAATTAAAACCAAAAAAACATTTTCTGTTTCAAAATTGTAAAGAAAATTAATTATGTACTGAATTGAACAACAATTTTTCATAATAAAACCAAATATAACACTCTATTATAATGTGCAATCAACAACTGAACACAAAGTTATTTCATGCTGAGAATATTATAATTTTTTTTTTAATTGTGTTTCAGCTCTGATGACTTACCATCATAGGCTATGGTCCAAAATAAAATGGTAACTATTTGAGCAGAGCCAGCAGAAATAATGTGTAGAAGCCATTGCAGTTTGATTCGTGGTGCATTCTTCAGTTCTGCATTAATATCTGTAATGAAACCCAAACCCTTTTCAGTAAGAGTCAATACAAATATTGGTGAAGAAATTGAGCTGTACAACTGTTATCACATTCTATTCAATATTATATTATTTTGTTAATAACATATATTGATCACACCATACACAAATTCCCTTAAAATGCTGCCGAGGAATTTGTGGCTATTTTTTGTTCTGTTATGTAAATCTTATAATCCAAATTAATAAATTCATATTTCCATTCTATTCTGATAAGTGATGTTGACCAGTACTTCTGCTCATAGTTTGTAGTTCTTTTCCTTCTTTAGGACAATGAAATGCCAGGTGTTGAAAATTGTACTTCACATGTTCTCATGTCTTTGAAGCAACAGTGTCAATTAATGTTTATCGCATGTTCATACCTTTTTTCCTCCTTCTTTAGGACAATGTAGTGTCAGACATTTACTGTTTATCGGGTGTTCTTACCTTTTATTTACTTTATATTTTGAGGACAATATAATGATGGGAACATTTAGTTTTTGCTTTTGTTTGTGTTTCTTACCTTTCTTTTCCTTCTTTAAAGCAATGTAGTGCCACACATTTACTGCACGGAGGATCTGACAAAAGGTCAAGATGTAGAAAGACCAGTAAGTCAACATTATGAATATCTTCCAACCAAGATTTCCCCCAAAGGCTGTATAAAACACCATGATGGAAAAATAGAAGGCCACAATAGTCCTGTATATTGCATAAGGCACCGGATTGTCACTCCACTGAAATCAAGTAGAAGACGATTTAAACACCATTTAGGCATATCAGAAATAGAAGCACCTGTTAAAATGTATAGTGATATTGGGGAGTTTAAAAGTTGACTTAAATAACAACGATTTTTTTTATACAGTACTTTTCATTATCTTCATGTGCAAATATGTGTGAATCTAACCCTATTCTATATTTAGTATTCAGAGCTTTTCATGAATCTATGTACTCAAGTAAGATGAAACTATTGCCACATCTTATAGTAAAAAATTACTAAACTTGCAATATTGAGTACAACTAAAATGTTGTAGATATCATCACCTTGTCCTGTAATAAGTCTATCCCCTGACTTTGAGTGAGAAGTTATGTATTAGCTCCCCTTGTGCTTTTTCAGAAGACAAATATCATACACTTTAAACAGACCAAGAGGCCCGTACCAGTCTGATCAGTCACATGTGTTGTACTACAGGTAACTTTAAATATGATAAGGTATACAAATCCTGAGACATACCTATGATTCAACGAATACCAAAATAACCATATATAAAATAGTTCAGTAACCAGTTGTAATTCTAAAAGGGTGACTGTTTCAAAAGTCCCCATATGGTGTGACCCTACCTGAGCAATCCTGAATGAAGATATCTTTGTAGTATTAAAAATGCCTTTAACCACCTTGATTTTTCAGTGGCAAGGATCTGAAATTAATTGCTCTAACCTTTGAGGAACCAGATCTGAAGGTTAGCTAAAACCAGCAATTTTGGCAATCTTGTAGAACTGTTATCAGTCTTACACCAAATTCCAGCAAAATCTCTCGAATGATTTATATTTGTTATTGACAACAAGTAAAGCCTATGAACAGCCTCTTTTACTGGTTCTGATTGAGTCAGATCGACCCCAAAATAATTATAATGCTGTCATATTTATATGTAGATAATGACCATGCAATTAGCTTTTGACACTGCATAATTTTAGAAGTCAAATTACAAATCTGAAGGGTCACAACATGTCTATGGATTGCTCTGATGACTCACTAAAATGCAAATTCAATATGAAATTGTTAGCATATGTTTTGTAAGAAGTTACCTGTGACAGTACAAAATCTTCCGGGCAAGCATGGTCCAATCCATAGCGAGGTTCATAAAGTTCTGAGGAGCGGATGCCACTCTTTCCAGATGGTCTACCTTTCTTGTCAGTAAGTGAGTAGTAGGCATAGCGAGTATAGGTTGTTAGAGCGCGATGAGCCATCCGCATACCACCATTGGTAGCGTCTACAAACTTGGCTGTAATCTTAAACATCACTAGACTTATGGCTAGGCGAACCACCTGCAACATAAACAACAGCAGAATTCTAACTGTTCATGAAATATAAATGAAAATTCGAATTGAATTGTGTGCTAGGTATACTGGTTTAATCCTTACAGGTGATTCAATAGCTGTACGTCTATAACTGCCAACCTTTCAGATTTTTCAAGAATTAATGTAGAGGAATGATAAAAACATCTTTCAAGTAGTTAACAAGTGTTTGACATTCAACCTGCAATGTGTATTTTTAAGTATGTGCAGTCTACAGACCCAATAACAAGATATCTATACCAAATAATACAACATCTGTATCAAAGGACAATCTATAGACACAGCTAATTGGATTTTATGATTCTAAAATTAACTACTGTCATGTAATTAACTAAAGCAAGCGTAAAGGTTTGTGCAGAATAGCAATCTGACAATATTCAACTTCATGAATTCTCATCCCCCCCCCCCCCCCCCCCCCCCCACCCCAACTTCTTGCTGGTTTGGGTGTATGTTACACTTATAGATATTCAGAATTAAAAGAATTAAAAAGTAATTTGATTCATTCTAAAATTTCAAATAGCTCTGTCTTCCAATAACAGATGTGATGATTAATGTTCTTTTGCCCAATGATTTACCAGTATATGAAATAGCTAGCCCACGATGTATTTTAGGAGTAGACTATAAAAAGAGAGAGAGTAAAATATCAGTCACATCAGTCTAAAAGGATTCCTTATTTAAATTCATACAGTAATATATGTCAAATCTTATAACACACAGATCATACCTTCCAAGTCATACAGTGCAGATATTTATGTTCCAGTACAAAAATACACTACTGTTATAACACAGTTTGATCTTCCTTTTCAAACATCAATTTTTCCTTATTTGTCTTATTCTGCTTCAATTATGCAATCATATATGTGAGGGTGATGGAATCTTACTATATATAGATTATACAGACCTGCTTTTAATGAATTCCCTGAAGTGAATAATGCTGTGTAAAAAGCACATGTATGACCCACAGACATGGACTGGTATTTATGTAAAGTAACGTGTTGTGAAAGCCCAGTGACATCACTAACATTTCCACAAAGGATGTAATTAAGTGTACATGATAAGTTGATAGCATAAGGACATGCACATGAATCATGGTACAAAGATCAGGTGGTTCAATACAGGAAATCGTCACAACAGTCAATATGTAGCCATCCAATCCAGTATAGACTTAGTGTGGATACAATAACTACAACAACACAATATACTATTTCTAAAATGTATCAAAGCCATTAGCTACGTAGTTAGGTTCAATGTATAATATCATATCTATTCAACAATATAATGTATTATATGTATATAACCCTTCAGGGCAAATAGGATTTGATAACAATAAAATACTAAACCAAAAAATATATACATATAACAGAATGTTAATTTATAATATACCTATCTTCACCAATACCGTAAATGACCATAAAAAGGTAAATAGGATTTGATAACAATAAAATACTAAACCAACAAATATATACATGTAACAGAAAGTTAATTTTTAATATACCTATCTTCACCAATACCGTAAATGACCATAAAAGGGTAAATAGGATTTGATAATAATAAAATACTAAACCAACAAATATATACATGTAACAGAAAGTTAAGGCTAAATTTATAATATACCTATCTTCACCAATACCGTAAATGACCATAAAAAGGTAAATAGGATTTGATAATAATAAAATACTAAACCAACAAATATATACATGTAACAGAAAGTTAAGGCTAAATTTATGATATACCTATCTTCACCAATACCGTAAATGACCATAAAAGGGTAAATAGGATTTGATAACAATAAAATACTAAACCAACAAATATATACATGTAACAGAAAGTTAAGGCTAAATTTATAATATACCTATCTTCACCAATACCGTAAATGACCATAAAAGGGTAAATTGGATTTGATAATAATAAAATACTAAACCAACAAATATATACATGTAACTGAAAGTTATGGCTAAATTTATAATATACCTATCTTTACCATTACCGTAAATGACCATAAAAGGGTAAATTGGATTTGATAATAATAACTTACTGAACCAACAAATATATACATGTAACTGAAAGTTATGGCTAAATTTATAATATATATCTTTACCAACCAACATAATATATACTTGTATATACATGTAACAGAAAGTTAAGGCTAAATTTATAATATACCTATCTTCACCAATACCGTAAATGACCATAAAAGGGTAAATAGGATTTGATAACAATAAAATACTAAACCAACAAATATATACTTGTAACTGAAAGTTATGGCTAAATTTATAATATACCTATCTTTACCAGTACCGTAAATGACCATAAAAAGGTAAATAGGATTTGATAACAATAAAATACTAAACCAACAAATATATACATGTAACAGAAAGTTAATTTATAATATACCTATCTTCACCAATACCGTAAATGACCATAAAAGGGTAAATAGGATTTGATAATAATAAAATACTAAACCAACAAATATATACATGTAACTGAAAGTTATGGCTAAATTTATAATATACCTATCTTTACCAGTACCGTAAATGACCATAAAAGGGTAAATAGGATTTGATAACAATAAAATACTAAACTAACAACTATAAAGCTTTATCAGACAATACACATATAGGATAAACATATTGAAACCAATAATTATATAGCTACAGATTATCTAGGTAAAGAATTAAATAAATGATAACTCTCTTCATCAGTTAAATGTAATGGATCTAACAACATCATAGCCATGATCGGCAGAAAAATACATACGGTTAGGACAACTCCTCTGTGTATATTACCCTTGAAATCAGTAAACATTAATGAACGGCCATATGTTTGCGTCATCTTTTTGTTGACAAGGATCCAACTTTGTAAGAATATATTTGTTATGAATATGTGTGTACCAGCTAGTTTTATGTCGCTCAGCTTTATGTCCATGTTTATACACAATGACATTAACTTCGAATGAAAATATTGTCATTTAAAATATACTAACACATACTGGAGGTTTTGAACAACTATTAAACACATGTACAGACTACACACCACATATATGTCATCTATAAATACAATATTGCAATTTGTTAGAATTTGTTCACTGCACATTTGTCTCATTAAGATAATATGATGGTCATTTGTAGAGTTGACAAACCTTTGAAAAATATTTTAATTAACCAAGGGTATAAAGTATTAATATGGCCAATAGCCAATTGAAGTGTTATCTAGTGTGTAAACATTTAATCTTAGGTCAAGGTTAATCCTCGTCTTTAAATAATATTTTTGCTTGTGAATTAAACACCATTGTAAATAAACAGCTACATCAAATAAATAGTTCAGACAGTTTTAAATGCTATCTAAATGGCCGAAAAAAAAAATTGTTTCCAGTAACATGTAGGAAAAATTAAATCAACATTAAGTAGGTGAAAAATTTTAACAAATAATCTGATACAGTTAATATATAGGTGAGAAATTTTAATATTTTAACATTTCATTTCTTCTTTGGAAATTACTTTAAAAGTTTAAGCACAAAATATTAGGGTATGCAGAGCTTTACAGTAGAACTGGTACTGGAAATATTTTGTGTGAATTGTGGTCAGGTTATTGTCATGATCATTGTGCATGTGACAAGTAAAGGTTTAAATTACATGATAATTTATGCTCGTTTTATCTGCTACAAATCAACAAAATCTTCTGGACCATATTCAAATCTCTTTCCAAACAAACATACAAATACTGTAAGGATTATATTGTTTAGGCAATAGCAGACTTGAAAGCAATCCATTTTTACTAATAAGTTTAACAAAATTGACAACACTTTCTATGACATTTTATAACCAATGCACTATTGTACATTTACATTTTTACATCCAAAGAAAAAGTGTATCATTTTTTGTATAAATCACAAATTTTATTGTCTCCATTGCCAGAGACGTATATATACGTCTCTGCCATTGCTTATTGTGTGGCAAAATTTAGAACATATGTAAATTCCTGCTCAACTATATGACATAAATACTGTATGCTGTAGTCAATAGAGAACAAAGTCGGTTATATAAGTTATCCTGGCATATAGTTAGATAACAAAAATGAATAATTTTTCTGTTGATAAAGTTTCACCTTGGCTACATTGGGTCATGTTAAAATGCATTTTTTTGTTGCGAATGTTGAAAGAACTTGGCATGTGAACATTGAAGACATCATCTGAAACAAACACTTTGGTATGCGTTTCCATTTCAAATGATCCTGCATTTCATTGACTAATTATTAATCAGCGGTAGTAACTATCACCGAAATGCAGGACAATTACCCATGTGCGGGGATCGTGCCCAACCTATTTAAACACTCCCGCTTTTACCGGTCACGAGACTCGACACACATGACAGTAACTCCTGAAAATGGCTGCCAGAGCCAAGCGATCGACACATTTAGAAGCATGGTCAGTCATGATTCTGTGCGTCTGGGGCTCCGGACTTATTGCAACCACGACATGTGATGATGTTAAACACTTTACAGCCACCGATTCGTGCCAACCTCCTGCTATGGAGTTCGATATCGAGAACATTACGAAAGGGTAAATGTTCCTATTACTCGACGTGCCCTTTTCTAGTTTTGCGGAAATATATTTGTAAGAGTTATATAAGTATTTTGTTAGTGTAATTATGAATTTGCAGCCTCAGTCTTTTCTGAAACGGATATAACTGTATAGGCTTATTCTACTCAGCATGTTTAACGATGTCAAAATCGTATTGCAAATCGACATGTTGACAAACAAAAAATGTCTTCCGTACAGGCTTTTAAGCCTAGGTTAAAATGCTACAGCTGACGGAAACGTCGCCTGTCCTTTCAGACATGTACTAATTAGAGTATTCATAAATCGTAAACTGTAAATAAACGTTCTCTGACTTACATATTGTTTACGGTGGTCCCTTTCAACGCAAAATGCCTGAAGTATTGAGGTCACTCAACCTCCAACTAGAGAAACGGAATTTGTTGACAGAACGGGTTTCTACGGTCACGTGGGATGAGACATTCGTACGAGTTATCTCCCATCCAATAGTTTGTGTAGAATGGCTCTGGCTGATCGTTTCAATAAATTTATATATATATATTTAAACTTGTACTCAGCGAAAATTTTAAAACAAGACGTATTATACAATCTTATTAAATTGACATTTAATACTGAGAAATCAAATCTAACTGATTTTTTTTAATGAGCGAGAATAAAAAAAAGATGTATGTATAACAAGGAAACATAATAAACATTGTACACCACTGATATAACAGGGTTGAATTTTAATGTGTCAATTTAATTATTTACCCTCCTAAAATTTCCTCAATATATTATGGTATAGATTTATCTATCTGTCTACTGTATCCCATGTCTGGACTGCTGTGATCTACAATCAGTTTTCAATTAATATATCTCTTGATGTCAATCATTGATTGGACTTTTCTATTGCTTTGTTTTCGACATTATGACTCGAAAATCAGCTAGTATCTTGTTACAACACCTTTTTATAGGTCTACAAAAAATTTAGCAAGATGTGTTATGGCGTTGCCCTTTTTGCCATCTATTCGTTCCTTGGAACTTTTCTTTGTTCTGAGGTGACTAATTAACAGTGAAGACTAATCAATGAGCTGTCTGTCTGGTTTGCATGGCTAATCTAGCTCTTTTACATTTGGTTAAGGTTAATTGTATAAGTATGACATGATATACTGATTCCTAAATAGCAGCTATCCGTCAATTTATTACCATATGATTCAATATTCTGTTTTTCTTGAACAGCATTAAAACTGGACATTTAAGTTACACTTTATGAAGTTGTATTCTTTGTTATCACATTATTATCGTAACATGAGTAATGAGAATTCTCAGTGATGATTCAATTGGACATAATATGACTGACATTTTGACACAAAACTATATTTTGTTTTGGTATAGGATGGGCCTGTCTGGATATTGTTTAGACCAATTTGTTCCTTTAAATCAGTGTATAGTTAAATGCTCGTATTATATATTAATAAATACATATATATTAACATTTTGCCCCAATTAAAAAAAAAGAAAGAAAAAAAGTTCATAAATTTTTTTTTTTATTCAAGTACAAATTGTCCTGGGTCTTAATATGTTACTGATGAAATGTTTTTGTCGTCATCCAAATATAACTGAAATATTTGTAATCCATGAATGCAGCACAAAACGTTACCTACCTTTAACATTAAGTGAATGATCATCCTCACCAGTTGTTCAACCTTAGAAGTTTCCTCACACTTGTATCATTGTAGTTCTTCCTGTTAAACAAACCAGCAAGTTCCTGGTCACATGTTTGAATTCACGGAAAAGCAAGTAATACAGCTGTCACTATGGTTACTGCATCCTCATTATATATATATTGATACATGTGCAGTATTTGTCTGTGTCTTTGACAGTGACCAGGTAGACAAGCTGTTATGTCGCCCACTCTAAACAGGGTTTTAGTATGTAGGTATAGCTCAGTAACATACTTAGCCTTAGGCTACCTGAATCTTGTTAGTTATCGGGTACGTTCCACTAACAACATGCAGAGTTCTGACAGAACATCCGTACATACCTGTAGTATAGCTATTGATCACTTCCTCGATCATCATTCATTTCTGATTTAATTTAATTATCTAATTTTCATGCATGCATTATATACATACAGCTACTGCAAAAGACCCTTAGTTGTATGTTACGTGTTTCTATCTAGGTCAACTGGAGTATAGAGTAAGGATCTTCCAGTTCATATAAGATTATGACACAAGTTTCAGTTAACTGAGCATATTGTAAAACTCTCCTAATTTATCTCCCATCTAATGGAAATGATTGTAAGATTTTGATAATCATACTTGACGAGATATTTTTGAAGGAATTCTAGAAACTGTGTAGACTGATACAGAATCTAAATTGGTGATATTCTCAATTGATTATTATTTTTATATTGGTGGCATCCAAATGCCTATAATTCCATGCAAGCTATAAGGCATCACAATTGAAATGTTCAGAAAATAGTGGTACTGTAAGGTGTTACACTGGTAACAGTGTGGTTATGTAATGAAAGCCGACGTAATTTGTTACACATTATTGGTAAAATAAAGTCTCATCAGAAATTTGAAAACTGTACATGTTTATGTAATTTAAGATGGAGTTGTATGTAAAAATGTTTTGATGGGAAAGTGACACAGTTTGATTTAATTAAATTAATTAAATTGAAAAAATAATTGATTTTCTGTTTATGATAAATGTTTACAGATCATGGACGTTCACAGAGAAAAGCAAGAACTGTGTGGGGAGTGTTGATGGTTCGGCTGGCAGCCTCTCCAACTGTACCTATACCATGGCGTTCTGTCAAATGTTACCCAACTGTAGCAGCGGTAGTATGTGTGTAGAAACGTTCAACGCAACTGGTAAAAATGACACTACCAAGCTTGTGCAAGGAGGCTATGTGGCAAACCCATTCAGTGTCACAGGTTAGCTTGATTTATATTGAATTAAGAAAACGAAAAAAAAGAAAGACTTCTGCATGCATTCAAATCATTCAATGCAATATAAATTGTAGCCGCTATATTGGAGCATAGTGTGTGCAAAAAAAGGAGAAATGTATACTGATATAAATTAGAATCTTCTTCATAACAATTAGAGAATTACATTTGCATATTCTTGCAAAGAATCTGCACACTTGCTTTTAATGATAGGCAAGGTGTGATTACCATTATGTTGATACCAGGGTAATTGGAATACTGTGATATCACTACTAAAACAAAACCCTGACAAAAATGTATGTCTTAGTTTCCAAATAAAATTTCACATACCTTTTAAAAGGATTTTAAAAGCTGCTTCCTTAATACATGTTTTCTGATCACTGATAATTTCAACTCAGTTTTTGTTTAGAATATCATTTGTTGTGCAACAAAATTGAAACACGATATTTTTACTCCTTTAATGAGAAGTCTTTTGACAGATACCTCTCTCAATGGTGGATTTCTAGCACGTTTTACTAAGGGAAGTAACTACACGAAATCAAATGGCACCTGGTGTCAGTTGTCTGCAGACATCAACTTTGAATGTAACAGGATGCAATACTGGGTTCCTTATGAAGGCAGAGAAACAACATCTGTTCCACAGAATGCCCTGAAACTAGTGAAATTTGACAAAGAAAGATGTCAGGTGAATAATGATAATGATTTTAACATAGAAATATTTCATAGACACAAAACAGCACACTGACACTGATAGTTCCTGTAACACATAAGTTTCAACTGCATGTGTTAAGTACCTAGATACACATGATTTGTTTCCCTAGACACTCAAAGTTTACTACCCTTAACACACTGTTGGTTCACAATGAGATACTCAAGGTTCACAATCCTAGACACTCAAAGTTTACTACCCTTAACACTGTTGGTTCACAACCAGTTACTCAAGGTTCACAATCTTAGACACTCTGGGGTCACTGATGCTATTTTCAATCATCTTTATTATGAAGGATCAAAGGAGTATGAAGTGCTATGTAAGGTGCTTCAATGTTCATCCATAAAAATAATCTAAACTATGGTATTTAGTTAAAGCATATAAATATGTTCTAACCTTCTGTCCATGTAATGAACATTGTTTTTTTACAGCTGCAGGTAACAGTTGAGTATGCCGGTGCCTGTATCAGCATCACTCCAGCCACTGCCATTTCCGAGACCTTGTCTGCTGGAACAGTGCTTATCATCATGTAAGTATAAAGCTGTGTTGGAGATCTCTCCACCAAGTATAAAAATAGCATGTGTTTTAGTGACATACATCATACTTCTGTGGTAAATCATTCCAGATTCATGACTGATTCAAGTATTGCTGAATATTTGAGGTTGTTTCTATATATATATAGCAGTTAGATGTGGAGGAAACAAAAACTTCCTTGTAAGCAAATTTGCAGACATCAAGTACAGTATCTGATTTGGGAGACAGTTCAATGTGTACTTATTGTAAACATGTACTTAGATATAGGTTTATATATAAATCTGTACTGTTAGTGGTTATATTACTGTAAGTGGTTAGATTACTGTAAGTGGATGTAAAGCACAGCTATCTAAGCCATTTTTGTTTGACTGTCCTCTTATCACTCATTCTAGTAATGTCATTGGTTTAGGTGATAACAATGGAGTGTTGTCTACTAAATTTCACCAGTCCCATCACAATTATTGAGTTATGGCCCTTTGTTGGAATCTTGTGGTTGGCTGATCAGACATATACAATTGTACTCTCATTGATTTGTAGATTTTTTGTATCCCTGGCTGTGTATTTTTCTTGTGGCATCCTCATAAATCTATTACGAGGATTCCACGGAAAGGACCTTCTACCACAGTCAGAGTTCTGGACACAGCTTCCAGTTCTTATTGCTGTAAGTTTACAACAAATAGATTTAATTCATTCAAAGGGAACGGGTGTGGATTGTGTTTTTTCAAGGGAGACAATCATTACTACTAATACCAGACCCAACATGTTTAGTCCTATACCTTTATTGTACATTGTAGTAATTTACTGATGCCAACACTTGGATGGAACAATTCAAAGATAGTAGTGAAATATGGAATCAGGAATAGATTAGATGATGAACTTTATTTCTTTTCCATTCAGTTTTTGACTGTCTCAATAATTATGTATATTCCTGACACAGGAAATGATGTTTTGATAATCTTTTATTCTCTGTTAGGAATTTGATTGTTTTAGAAATGGAGGCAACATCAATAATGGTTTAAAAATCTGTCTTTATGTATACATGTACTGACTAGTTCTATAAAGTGAAAATTTGATCAGAGTTTTGTATCTTCCCACAGGATGGATTTCTTTTCACCTGCTGTTGTAAAACTGAGGAAAAAGATGGTTATGACAGTATTTGATAATTCCAGATGATGTCAAAGTATGGAAATATATGTTAATTGAGGAAAGAAATAGTCAAAGAATTGTGATACTGTGAACACAGGAAAAGTTCTACTGATGGAGGGGACAGGAAACGTAAGACACTACTGGCCCCCAAAGATATGTGATACTGGAAATGCAGGGAACTTCATACTCATGAAATGAGTCATGAAATAGACGGCGAAAAAGAATCTATCCAATCGCTATTCTTTATAGACTATACACCAGACTTTAGATTATCCAATGAAATGGTTGCATAATATAGTATATATCCTAGATTGTGATAAAGCCTGCGATCTTGTTGATGTCGTTAAGTTATAGAAGTTAAATGCACACATTTTTTTCCAATATACACACTGGTTGTAAAGATACATTTTTTTACTGTTGAATTGTTCAGTGATTTGTTGATTTGCTTTACGACAAACTGATGTTACAAGTAATGTAGTATATAAAGTTGCTTGGTTCAATTATAACACATATAAAAACCTATATCTCAATACAGGATGTACATTGTATGATGTTCAAAGTCTAAAAAAGGTTGTTGTGCAAATACTAATATGATTGATGAAGGAAACTTTTAATACTACATGTACAGGAACATTATGGGAAATAATGTTTAGGTGTAATTCCATACCATTAATGTAGATATTGTAACATGTCTCTCCTGTAATAAGCCCAGGGGCTAATACATTATCTTGGACTCAAAGTCAGGAAATGGATTTAAAACAGGACAAAAAAGCCCAGGGGCTAACACATCACCTTAGACTTACTACCGATGAAGGGAAGGTGTGAACGTTTCAAGTACTGTAGTACTGAACAAAGTATTGATAGTATTGTACTGAAGTACTTCACCAATCGAATTCCTTAAATTTATGCAACAAGCTCTCTGATTGGCAGAGCCAAGTCTAGATCGATTGTGGGTGGAGCCAGGTGAAAAAATACTGTGCAGACATCGGCATTTTACAAACACTCGACTGTCGCGAGAGGTTAATTGGAAGAGTCCAAGTCACAGGTGGCTTCAGATCAGACCTAATTGGGTTGTCCCATTTTTTTCGTTCTACACCCAATGATACCTTGCTTTTCCATCGATGGTACAACGAGAAAACGAAAGTTACTCCGTACTAAACTAATTTACGTACAAAATATATATCAACTGGTTAGATCACTGGGACCGGAGAATTCATAACATCTTAACAGTGAATATAGTCATATAGTCATTTTGTACTAGTTTTATTTATTTATTTATTTTTTTTTTTGAAAGGGGGGGGGGAGGGTTGGCTCAAAATATTTCGGTTTAAGCCCAAGCTCTATTATATGTAACAAAGAATTACGAATTACCTGGGACCTCCTGATATATACCGATAATTCATACTGCATTAAAAAATAAAGGAATTCTGTGGTCCCATATATTTTTTATTTTATTTTTTATCTTTCCATCGAAAATTATACATATCCGCAACATGTGAAAAAACTTTGAAGTTGCTTGGGCGGAATATCTAGAGCATTTACTACTGCAAGTTCCAGAAATTCTGACACAAGTCGGGTATTTGCCCGAAGCCTCTGTCTCATGACATTGAATACATATTCAGTTACGCTGTATTCCGGGGAATAAGGCGGCTGAAAAACCAGGGACACGCCATATTCTTTCATCATATTTCTTAAAATGCGCTCTCCCTGTCTATGGTGATGGAATCCACAATTATCCATCACAACCACATCGCCTTGTACAAAAACAGGATTCCCCATATCGTTCGTATCGGACATAATTTCGTCGAAGAAAATTTTGCGTACTGTTGCCGTCGTACATTTTTCCAGCGATTACTTAGTAATTGTTATGTAACTGATAGTGTACAATAACTCCGCCTACCGGAACAAATTGGGTGTCAGATCAACTATTCAGGTTGTCTAAACTCCGCCCCCGACCAATCACAGAGGTCGTTGTATACTTGACTCGATTATTTGAATACTTCAATACAACAGTATCAATACTTTGTTCAATACTATAGTAAGTGTGTCGTTCACACCTTCCCTTCATCGGTAGTAAAGGAATCGACTAATGACAAGACAATGATCCCAATGGGCTCACACATCATCAAAGGATTGGCTTAATACAGCAGTGGTTTATAGTTCTACTGAATACCAATGTATACATAACCACACATGGGGTAATTCTGTGATATCTAACATATCTGCAAAGATACTACTGGGAAATCTTTAATTGTTCTGTACAATACAAATTGGATATTAAACAGACAGCATTTCACATCTGACCTGTATATATATATATATATATATGTGAACAACAGTTGTTGAACAAGTGATATCATTTACCTAGAGATATATCTATAGTAAGCTATACATTAAACAGGTTGTATTACAGGTAATGTTTAGCTCACCTGCCTAATGGCAAAGTGAGCTCATGCTGTGGCGGAGTATTCAGTGTGCATTCACATTTCCCTTTCATTGATCCAGTAACCAAAAGATCCAGGGGGTACTCATTTTTGTTCTGAGGCATGCTGGGATCAAGTGCTACAAAATTTGTTTAAATGATTGACCTTGACCCACTTTCAAGTTCAAAGGGTCAAATGTGTTAGTAATGTAAAGTTTCTTCTTTTCAACAAGCAATAGGTCCTGGGTCTTGGTATTTGTGTTGTAGCAAGTTGGAGGAATAGGCTTTCAAATATGCAAACTTTGACTTTATGAACTAAAAAACAAAAGCTTCAGAACAGGTGAGCAATTCTTCCTGATTATATGACGATATTTTTTTAAAAAAGGAAAAAACAATTATCATATCCACAAAGAGTTCTGATTAATGTTTTATGGTTGATCTGTGTGTGTGCTTGTTTGACATATTTTGTATTTCATACAGTGATAGATTACACGTAAAACTGTCTAGTTGATGTTTGTTTAAAATCATATCACTTTGTTGATAAGTTGAAATTCAGTAATGATGTTTATGTGTGATATACTGAAGCTTTGTATAGCTTTTGTTAGATATTGTTCTCTTCACAACATTCGGTTTCTTACAAACAAGGTATACAATACCCATGTACCCCATCATCAGCCCTTATACACATGCCACATTACCGTTTTGTCTTTGATATATCATTTACTGTTCTTCATTAAAGGAGGATATACACTTCTCCACAGCTAAAAAGAAGTTACAGATTACATTCCATTGTACATCAAAGAATCGTCAATAATTTTGTAATAGCCTGATTGTATAGAAGATTAACATATGCTAAAAAAATCATCCTTAATTGATAACAATTTAGAATTGAGGTGTATTATTGTCATAACCGATGTAAAAATTCTCAATCCAATAGTCATCAGGGTTTTCTTTTGCTGTTCTTATCATTATGTTTCTTGTTTACCTGTATATACCAGAAAACAAGTTCAAAATGTATCTACAGAACATATCTATGAAGTGGATCAATGTAAATACTATCTAGAGAGTGATGTGAGTTTTATATACATACAGAGAGGTGTGAGTGTTATACATACAGAGAGGTGTGAGTGTTATACATACAGAGAGATGTGAGTGTTATACATACAGAGAGGTGTGAGTGTTATACATACAGAGAGGTGTGAGTGTTATACATACAGAGAGATGTGAGTGTTATACATACAGAGAGGTGTGAGTGTTATACATACAGAGAGATGTGAGTGTTATACATACAGAGAGGTGTGAGTGTTATACATACAGAGAGGTGTGAGTGTTATACATACAGAGAGGTGTGAGTGTTATACATACAGAGAGGTGTGAGTGTTATACATACAGAGAGATGTGAGTGTTATACATACAGAGAGGTGTGAGTGTTATACATACAGAGAGATGTGAGTGTTATACATACAGAGAGGTGTGAGTGTAATACATACAGAGAGGTGTGAGTGTTATACATACAGAGAGATGTGAGGGTTATACATACAGAAGGGTGCAAGTGTTATACAAACTAAGGTTGGAGTGTTATACATACAGAGAGGTGTGATTTTTATACATACAAAGAGGTGTGTGAGTGTTATACATAAAGAGGGGTGTGAATGTTATACATACAGAGAGGTGTGAATGTTATACATACAGAGAGGTGTGAATGTTATACATACAGAGAGGTGTGAATGTTATACATACAGATAGGTGTGAGTGTTATACATACAGAGGGGTGTGAGTGTTATACATACAGATAGGTGTGAGTGTTATACATACAGAGAGGTGTGAGTGTTATATATATACAGAGAGATGTGAGTGTTATACATACAGGGGAGTGTGAGTGTTATACATACAGAGAGGTGTGAGTGTTATACATACAGAGAGGTGTGAGTGTTATACATACAGAGAGTTGTGAGAGTTATACATACAGAGAGGTGTGAGTGTTATACATACAGAGGAGTGTGAGTGTTATACATACATTGAGGCTTGACTGTTATACATACAGCAATGTGTGAATGTTGCACATACAAGAGGATGTTAAATATACAGAAGTTGCAACTGTTATATATTCAGTGAGTTGTGAGTGCTATATATAGAATGAAAAGTATTTTCTATACGCATAGATACTTCCTATTAGTGCAGTGGGAGAGTGTCTGACTGGAAGGTGTTTTTTCATTGCTATTACATACTAATTCATATATATTGTACAATGTAGAAATACATTCCATATCAGTAATAATGAATAAAATTAATAGAAAACTGATGTTACTTTTCTTGTATTTTTTTCCGAATACATCTTCCTGTTGTTTGGACCAGTATAACGATTACCACAATACAAGCTCCATCACAAACATGATCAAATATCTACACTGGCCAACACTTTACATTCGCCGCTTGCAACACAGGCTAATTATGACCTACAAAATAGTACATGGCCTTGTTGCACTAAAAATCTCCTCCCTGTCAACTTGATGACTTAATCAAGCCATCACAACTCATATGCTTTCAGACACACCCCTCCACAGACTGCTTTAGACACTCCTTCTATTCAAAATCTATCATACAATGGAACTCCCTCAGTCTTGTTTCTGCCGACACTGCTGACGCCTTCAAATCACTTGTAACAGTGTCGTACCTATCTCATTACTCAAATTCTTCTTATCTCTAAAAATATATGTCTTTTTAATCAACCCTTGGGACTAATCGTCAGAATTGACGGCCCCCAAGTACTACTGCTACGAGACATATTTCGGTCTCTTATAGAGTTGGCACATGTACAGTAGTCAAAATGATATGAAAACAAATATTTGATAGAAAATAAATTAAGCTTAAATAATATCAAAATTATTTAAACAAGATAAATGAAATAAGTGTTTTGTCTCTCCTAGTACTCGAATTCCTTTTGGCCTGGTCGACCCACACAGAGACGTATATTGTGCTATATATGTCTGACCCACACTATTAAAGGGAGCTAATCAATCTTTTCCAAATAAGAAGTAGGATCTAATAAATAAATAAAAAATACTAGGCCTACTTGACGAACGCGTATTATAATTTATTGATGGTATATCGCAAATGCACATACTTAATGAATATAATGGTGATTTTCTTCATTCCATGCTTATCTGTTTAGACATGTCTGGTGTTGGACGATAATCTATTTTTAGACTATAATACTGCTTATGTAATACGGGAATTTCCGCCAAGTTCCCTGAGGTTTGTTTTGGGCGCCATATTGAAAAGTTGAAATTGCGAAGAAAAGACGGATATTGGTTAAGAAAAGTAAGTTTGGAAGTGTCTAGATTTCTTATTTACGCCGATGCATTTTTTATGTAACTAAGTGATGTAAGGAGGACATTTCTTAGAATAATCTTTGGTATTTGTCTGTATCACGCCATATCACAAAGATGGTAAAATTTTGTCTGCCTGTGCATTGAGGTAGCTTTTGTGCTGCTTTTTATTTCGTTACAGTAATGTAGGACTACAGTACAGTAGCCAAATGATTGAAACAAATATGGTAACAAGTCTCAATCTGTGTGATCATGTCGCTTATACAGGTCTAGTATACATTTTGTCATAAAAGCTACGTAAGAACAGGGACGTATAATACAGATACGTCGCTGGTAAGAACAAAACAACGAAGTGTTTAATTTACTTCAAGATTGGGCCCAGTTTCCCACGTATCGTGACAGTGGTAATAACAGTACATTGTATGAAGAATATATGATATTTACCAGGGACGTCCCTGGATTTACATATAGGACTTTTAAGTACAAATTACACAAATAGTGGTCGGCTATCATAATAAATTTACAAAGACAAACATTCATGGATAAAGACATTACATGACTCAACCATCAGAATTATTAGCTCCATATAGGCTTTTTTCCCCCCACTGTAGGTTAATTAACAAAGATGTGAGCATGTAAGCTCTTAGTCAGAAGGGTTCTGACTATCCATCAACAATTTTGTTTTTGTCTTGATCATGGTCGATTAGTCCAGAACCCTCCAGACTGGCCCATACTTATATGTTAAGACAAGTAATCCTGAATTCAGCTGGGTATTCATGATCAGTAGCTCTCTCTCTCTCTCTCTCTATATATATATAGACTATGTATTCATGGTCTGTTTTAGACTCCAAAATATGATTCAAGAGTTGATGTAACAGATACAGAGATGATTTTAGTAATAAAATAATCATCTTGTATCTGACCAGCAGATACAGAGTATCGAGAGATAATTTTATTAATTGAATAATCATTTCGTAACCAACCAACAAATATAAGAATGTTTGGGTGAATTTTATTCGTTTGCACACAGAGACCAGTCAGAATCATTTTGAGACAGGGTCTCTTTGCAGCCTATTAGCTTATGGTTATATCTCACTGAATAACATACAGGAAGCTCATCGCATGACTTCAAAAACAATTGGAGTAATGTGCCTTACCCAAGGAAACAACCACATCAACATAGATGGGTCTTGGCTTCCAGAGAAACTATAGCCAGACTGCCACGGGTAGGGAACGTTGATCCATACACCTCAGATAGTCACCAGAGCTAAGTGCATTAGAGAAAAATACAACCTTAACAGGTCTTATGATCATGAAGATCGAAGATGTGGTGGTTTAATCAGGGCCAGTTTGTGTATTGTAGTAAGTCCAATCTATTTTCAATAGCTCTACTATACTTAGAGACTTCCATGAAATAGCCCAGACTGGCTGTGAGTGACAAACCCAGCTAAAAACACAATAGATTTATGTAGATTTTATAACATAATTGGACACTGACTGGGCAGTTTTCTTTTCTGTTATTTTACAAAATGCCAACTACTACTAGGTGAACATGAAACATATCTATCTTGTAATATCATGTAAACAAAGATTGAATAGACCAAACAAACGGTTGAAGTTTGACAGTTTGAATTTTCAATAATTATAGTAGGATGAAAAGAATAGAATACATGGTAACTGTCTTAAAATATAAGTTGCTTTTAGGCTCGCATCAGGAAGAAGAAGTGGCACGCCGAAGCTTGCCATTTTGTCTTTCTTCACTTTCGTCATATACATTTTAAGACACTGACCACATCTTCTATATATAGCTTCATATTGGTTGAAATCTACATCGATATCACATGTGTAAAGCTACGCTTATTCTGATGTGTCAGGCTACACTTCATAGTTGTAAATTATAGCTAACCTGACTTCATGGCAGTACAGCTGCAATACCACACTAACTTCTCAGGTGTAAATCAAAGCTGCATTCACTGGTGTAAAGCTACACATCAAAAGATATGAACCCCAAAATCAATAAGCATAAAAATGCAATATAACATGTATATTTTTCAGGCATGAATACAGAAGGAAAAGGTGATCATGATCAACAGGCAGACGATGCACATGATGGTACAGTGGTTCACCAGAGGAGGAGACATCGCTCTTTTACCGAAAAAAGACGAAACTCTATGAATCTTACTCCGTTAGTTATGCCAGGAAATGAGTCCAGCTCATTTGGTGGATTTAGTTTTCCATCACAGTTCAGCAGAAAGGAAGACATTAAAGAAGAAAGCAAGGAGTTGTTTGAACATTTTGTATATGATGAAATCAGTAGAGAACATCTGCATCTGCCTGATGATGTAGTGACATCAACATTGTCAGGGACAAGGTAATTAGGTAGAGTCTGATACAGCCTGGTGATGTAGTGACATCAACATTGTCAGGGACAAGGTAATTAGGTAGAGTCTGATACAGCCTGGTGATGTAGTGACATCATCATTGTCAGGAACAAGGTAATTAGGTAGAGTCTGATACAGCCTGATGATGTAGTGACATCATCATTGTCAGGAACAAGGTAATTAGGTAGAGTCTGATACAGCCTGATGATGTAGTGACATCAACATTGTCAGGAACAAGGTAATTAGGTAGAGTCTGATACAGCCTGGTGATGTAGTGACATCAACATTGTCAGGGACAAGGTAATTAGGTAGAGTCTGATACAGCCTGATGATGTAGTGACATCAACATTGTCAGGAACAAGGTAATTAGGTAGAGTCTGATACAGCCTGATGATGTAGTGACATCAACATTGTCAGGAACAAGGTAATTAGGTAGAGTCTGATACAGCCTGGTGATGTAGTGACATCAACATTGTCAGGAACAAGGTAATTAGGTAGAGTCTGATACAGCCTGGTGATGTAGTGACATCAACATTGTCAGGAACAAGGTAATAAGGTAGAGTCTGATACAGCCTGGTGATGTAGTGACATCAACATTGTCAGGAACAAGGTAATAAGGTAGAGTCTGATACAGCCTGGTGATGTAGTGACATCAACATTGTCAGGAACAAGGTAATAAGGTAGAGTCTGATACAGCCTGGTGATGTAGTGACATCAACATTGTCAGGAACAAGGTAATTAGGTAGAGTCTGATACAGCCTGGTGATGTAGTGACATCAACATTGTCAGGGACAAGGTAATTAGGTAGAGTCTGATACAGCCTGGTGATGTAGTGACATCAACATTGTCAGGAACAAGGTAATTAGGTAGAGTCTGATACAGCCTGGTGATGTAGTGACATCAACATTGTCAGGAACAAGGTAATTAGGTAGAGTCTGATACAGCCTGATGATGTAGTGACATCAACATTGTCAGGAACAAGGTAATTAGGTAGAGTCTGATACAGCCTGGTGATGTAGTGTCAGCAACATTGTCAGGAACAAGGTAATAAGGTAGAGTCTGATACATTGTAACTGAATTTATAGCAATTTTAGGTTGTTTTTTTTATCTTTCGAACTTTTCCCATTTGACTTTTAGATTTTCCACATGCTATATCCATAAGAATGTCTTGAGGAATGTGCTTTTCCTTTTGTTGACCCATTCAAAGACAGTTTCCTTTCTACTACAGTACACCACAGGGATATAAAAATCCCAAATGGGCAAAATATGGCCGGGAGCTTAGAATAATGGCTGATGAATTTGCAAAGACCAAGGAACGACAGCGAATAAAACAACGAGCTGGAGATGTAAGTTTAAATTATTTCTGAACAAGAATGTATTCCAGTCCCAGGTTAAAGATAACAGGAAAACTTAAATTTCTTGTCATATTATAAAGCATGCAAAATTGAAAGAAATCAGTTGAAAACTGATGGAATAGATCTCATTTCCATTTGGAAAAACAAAACATGGTGATTAAGCCTTCCTACTTTAAAAGAAATCACCTAAAAACTGTGAGAGAAAATCTCCAGACACAAGATTTAGTTTACGAAAACATGGGGCAGTAACTTTTACTAACCAAGTCGAATTAGACTGTATAGCTACCATTCATGGTGATTAAGCTCAACAAATTTGAGAGAAATCATTTGAAAACAGATCTAGGTCTTCAGAAAGAATAACATCTTGAAAACCAAACAAGGAAAGTAACTCTTCTAGAGAGACTGTTAAATTAAGCTGCCATTCAATAAGATATAGTGTCATTTTTGGTGATTAAGATGACAAAGTCACCAAGAAGTTAAGACTGAGAGAGGAGATTTTACATTATGAAAACAACACAAAGAAACACCTTTTCCAAATACAGTAAAATTAATGTTCAGAAAAATGCAACTTCATGTCATTTTGATTAAGCATACCATTTTGAAAAATATTGGTTGAAAAATCTGAAAGGAGATCTCTGTAAAATTAAAGCCTATGATGGATACATTTACCATACCATACCATGTCCTTTAAGAATTATTGACAAGTGTTTAAATCTCTGACGTCACTCTGGATTTTCATGTATAGATGTTTATTTTAAATGTGCTGTATATTTTGACATGTTTTATTTCTATCCTGTTAGATTTAAATTCTTCTTCTTTTTCAGGTGGACATGAATTCAGCTACCTATGAAAGTTTCAGTGACATGTTATCAGAGCTATTCTTCAGCAATGTGTTGTCTTCAGCTATAACGAGGGAGAGACTTGTTGTTCTCTTCTTCTTCTGTTCAGATATTGTGATACGCTCCCTGAAGGCAAAAGCTACAGACTTATTTAAAAAGTTTATTGAGTGGTCCACACGCTTCATAACTAGTAAAGTTGCTGAGACGGTTGCACGTCTTGGAGGCTGGGTAAGAATTTTTATTTTCCATTTTTTTTTTTTTTTTATATATCTATATAAAGATATTTGCAATATTATTGAATTTAATGTATTTCTTCACCAATCTATTTCCTTAGAAGTAATATTATGTCATCAGATACTATGCAAAGAGATGAAAAATATATTAATAAGTACTGTCGGAGGTCTATTTCAAATTTTTCCTGACATTAAGTTCAAATGTAAAGAGACTTTGATATACATGTAGAAAGAATGTAGTTTAATATCCGAGATATTACCTGGCAGCAGCATTGGTTTGTCTGTTGGTACTAACAAACTAATATAAAGGACCTAGTGTAGTCATAGTAAACAGCAGAGGTCATGGCTGATTAGATTGTTAAAGGGTACTGGGGCATTAATTGAATGCATGAACTTTGAATATTATCATTAGAGCCTGTTAAATTATATATGTTTATACACTATATATATACAATGTATAAATATTTTTTAACTTCATCTCATGGATGACATATATAGCTATTTATGTAATACAACTGATATAATGTATTCCTGTTTAGTTGAATATGAATGTGGGTTTTAAATTTGCTTTATTCACATTTTTAAAGGACAACATGAAATTAGATACCCACAAATTTCATACATTTAATCAAAATCTTTGAAATTCTGGATCTTCTTATGCTTGTATATGGTTTAGTTATTTAAGTTCAGTTTGGTCCAGTTCATAAGTATTATGATCTGGTGTCTATGTATACTTGCATGACATATAATTACTGAGATTTTCATTCACTGTTTGCTTAATCTTTTTTTTATAAGGAATATTGCAAAATTGATTTCATTTCTTTTAGCTGTACAGTAGGTACATTAATAATCATGTATAGACATGAACTCCTATTTACTGCCAAAGGCAGGGTAGCTCAGAATGTAAGTTTTCTGTTTCGATATTTTTCACCATATGATAAATTGTGAAACATCATGAGTCTTCTTGATTCATTTATTTACACACTATCACACTTGTGTGCTATGACTTGTATACATCTTACTCATGTACATACATCATCATAATCATCTTTATCATCATGCACATGTATCTACTACTTCCTGCACACAAACTCACTCATCAACATTCACACCCACTTACACTCACATAGCAAACTTACGTGTACTTAACAAAATACTCACACACACAAGCACAAAATCTTATCACCTACACTTATCAAAGATATTTCCTCACTCACATATACTCACTCATGAATACATATACATAGAAAAACCATTGTACATCCTAAACAAAGAAAGATAGAGAATTGGGAGGGTTATAATCATTATTAAATAAAAATAGCACTAATTTTGTGGAAATTTAATAAATTTAAAGACAGTTTGGTATAGACAAGCCATGGCCATTGGGAAAAGACTTGTTAGCATACATACTATAGTACTGGTATATATATAATGGGTATCCATTTTTTCCAATTATTCTCATTTTTTTTTTTTTTTTTCATAATAGTGTTTTTGCTACAGATGTTGTACTTTTGAACATGGAAATGATCCTTAATCTTATTTATAAGAGCATTTAAATTAAGAGATTTTTGTAGACATCTTGACTTATAAACATAGTGTTCAATGAGAATTAAAATTTTGTTATCTGCAGTGTTAGCATTAGGATGGATAATTCCAAATGAACATGTTTCTTTGTTTATCCAGAAAGGAATCAGAAGAATATCAAGAAGAGATTCAAATTTCTCCAATAGAGTCTGTACCTCTATACACTCCCATAGACAGTGAAGGATTGTTTCTCTTTCCATATTACACAGTGTACATAAAGGTCTAGGAATTAGATTTATATTGAAAAGAAAGGAGTTCGTAACCAGAATGTGATGTATAATCCTTACTTGATCTGTAGCTTAGAACTTTCTGTAATGGTAAACAGAATTATTAATATATTTTTCCACTTCTGATTATCAAAGTCAAAATCATCACTCCATTTCCGAATACCTGTAGGGGTCGGTGCTGGTTTAATAATAGAATTGTAGACATTTGATAATGACCTAAACTCTTTGTTTTTCAGGGATCTGTCATGAGGACATCTGGCCGTCTATTTACCAATATTCTTATAATTAGTGCCTGTATTGTTCTGGCATTTGCTGTGGGAAAGGTGATCTCCCGCAGAAACTCTGGATAGAAAGAAAAGACAATGAAACTAGTCACGCATACGGCAGGCACTGCATACACTGACCACCACACAGCATCAGAAGGATTAAATGTTTGTTTCAAGCTGTAAACATACTGATGAGAATGTTTATGTAAATATGCCACTTCCTTTATATGTATTATGTTTACTTATTCATTAATGAAACTTAGAAATAGGTCCTGATGAATTCAGATACACGTAATTATAAATACCTTTATGGCAACAGAAATTGAATTATAAAAATGTATAATTAGTGCACAAGGCTAATCCATTTTTGTCGATGACAGCTGGATTGGGAGCGTTTTAAGATTCCTGTGTTCAAGAGTCTTCAATTTCAAAATTTCACCAAGATTCTGATATCTAGTTAGGACAGATAGTCATTAACTTGCATGCAAAAATAAACAGCATTAATTTAGAATGCAACTGCTTTTTACAGAGCAAGATAATTCCTAGTAACAAAATAGTAAAAGTACAAATTTGAAAAAGAAGCTGAAAATTTATACAGAAAAAAATCATATGGAATAGGCTTATTTTTTAATGTTTGAGATATATATTGGCACTTTTCTGTGATTTTGTCATGTATATGGACTAGTACAATTTAAGCTCACATAATTAAGTGTAAAATCCTTTTAATGACTTGGAACAAACAATGAATTTTCATTGCTGAAGTAAATTCTGTATTCAGATAAGAGGATATATACATGATACAATTTCAGGTGTTGATATTCAGTCTTGCCAACCCTTTTTATCAACTTTCAAACAGTGGCTTTCTCTTGTAATTTCTTTTTCAATGAAAGATACATGTATTTTTATAAAAAGTGTCACTAATGGTTTTTGTCAGTAAGAGCACACTATGCTTTTTGTATATAGTAAACACATAGATATAAATGATTTTACCTACACCAATGGAGTTATTGTTCTTGAATACAACCTTTATATTTTGGAAAGAAGATAATTCACTATTTTTTATTGGGTAGATATACACTATGTAAATATTTGTTAAGGAATAATGTTGTTTGACCAATGGGGCCAAATGAGAAGTGAAAGATATCCTCACAGATTGTATGAATGAGTACACACTTACACATTCAGTCTTTATAGACTGGTCATCTCGTGATACATGTAAATATTTTTTTTAACCAAATATGTTCAATATCTATTACAGTGCAACATAACAAGCTGTCTGAAATAATTCCTGTGTAGAATTCAGTATAAATTTGATATTTTAACAAAGTCCTATTGTGTACAAAAATTCTGTATAAATTATACTGTTTAACAAAGTGCTATTGTGTTTTAATGTTCTGTATAAATAAAACCCTGTAAGTCCAGGTTTTTTTTATGAAAATCTTTATAAACAAGCTAAAGACTTTCAGATGAGTTGTATGAGATCCCTGAAGAACTGATTCCTGTCCAATACAATACATAAACCAGGTCTTTGGTAATTTCTCACTTTTTGTTTGCTGATAGAAATGGTGATATTAACACTGAAAAGATTGAGAAGAAAAAAAGTTACATAGATTATTGTTTTTGATTTTTTTTAGGAGTGCTACAATATATTGCCAGGTATATCTTATATTCTCTATGACAAATTATATTGTTTTGCTTACAAAAGGCACTAGAATACCTTATGTATAATTATATATTTGAAGTTACAATACACTACTTAACAAATTTTCATTCTCTGCACAAATTGTCTTCCTGGTCAGACAAAATAATATCCAAAGCATAATGCTGTGAATGTTACACCTACACAAAAAGTGCTAAATTTGTATTGAATTGTTGAAATGAACATTGTAATTAGAATACAATCAGTTATAAAGAATACAGGATAACAATAGATCGTTAATGGTCAGATTACATTTTCAAACTTACTGATCTTAGGTCGAATGGAGAAAATGAAGCATAGGTTCACTATACTGCTGTTATGGGCCATCCGATTTGTTCTTTAAGGTGGAAAATCACAATCTAGTCTTCTTGTATTTAGAAATATTGTGCAAAGATAAAATATAATAGCACTATTTATTTTTCCTTTATTTTTGTGTAGTAAGTAAATTCTATGAATTATGTACTCAGCAGAATGTTGATTTAATTTTTTTTAATTAGATTTTTATCATGTTATTCACTTTAAAAGTGATGATTCAATATGGTTTTCAAGCATTATATTCTCTTACATTTATCTGGGATAATCTTGTGTCTGTTTGATGAACTGACAGAATAATACCCTGCATAATGAAACTTATACAATCTTACAGTCCCTAGGAGCTGAGTTAGATCTTATCCCAACAGAAAGATGATGAAGTTGGCAACTATTTGGCTAATCTTATATTTGCCAACTTTATTATCTTTCCTTTGGGCTGAGAGCTCCCTATTTGGCTAACATTTGGGAGAATGATTATTTTTCTTTCACTCTGCTGGCTATCTTACATATACATTTGTATGTTTTGTTGTCCAAATGCTGTTCATTGTTGACATGACACCATTTATTTGAAAGAGGAATTCCTGTCTCAATTCTGGGGTCAGACAAAGAAAACTCAAATAGGTAAAATGCATGGATACAGAGGTCCAGTGAAAAGGAAAACAGCATATTAGGAGGTCATGTGTACAGCTTTCTTTAATACTGTTATTTCAAATATTCTATATTCATTTAAGTGTACTAATCTAAAGGGTCTTGTGTTTTTACCATTAGTAGATTATTTTGGTTGTTTACATGTTCATATGTATTCTAGTTTTTGGTAATCATTCAGAAAGCAGTCCTTGGGTGTTGGTAGTGAGCGGGAACAATCAATTAAATCTGTCATTGATCTCAGAATATTTTATACAGCATGCCATATCATCTTATATAGAAGGGTATTCATAACAAAAAATGTACAGGATGTTGTAGTCTGTACTGATGATAGTGAAACATTGTGTTCATTCCCTATTCTTAACTTTGAAGGAAATGATATTTTTTCTACTGGTGTTGTTTTGATGTCAGTTGCACAGTAATATAATTCAGTTCAAAATTCAATGACTTGTGGAGTCTTTGATAAATAAAGGTGTATCCAATTACAACAATCTTATATACATCAAATAGATTTTTTTTTTATTCAATCTGTAGAGCTTGGCCAAGATATCGTAATTGCAATTTTAATGATTACATTTTTTTTAACACATCTTACAGTAATATAAAAACCATAGATTTTACTTATATTGAACACTTTTGAAATTGTTCTCTTTACATTTTATTAATCTACCTTATAAAAATTGCCAAAAGAGCATTTAATGTAGATAACTAACAGAACCATAGAGACAGCTTCTTCTTTTGATTTCGAATGATAGAATTAATTGTAGAAATTGGCAATTTATAAATTTCAATTTGTGAAGTTTTGTATTTCATTTCAGTGACAGAAATCACATGGAAACCATATCCATCACGCATTTAACAATGAAAGCTCTGTTTTTTAGAGATATTAAGAATCAACTTTTATTGTGTTGATATTCCCTTTTATTCCTCATGTTCAATTCAACTCAACAGCATACATATTGAAGTATTTAAATCGAGACTGTAGAAATTATAATAGGTACTTGTATTTGAACAGTAGATAACTAGTATGTTAACATGGGTGTCTAAATGTATATACAAGTGTGTTTCCAATATTCCTCTAGGATGATCTCATGTTTATTGCTCAAGTATCAATAGTCAATAGGACAAGATAATATGTTCAAAACATCTTGACGTGCAATGTTTTTTTCTTTTTTCTTCAAAATATTTATTCTTTTTCACCCAATACTGCTGCTCAAGAATCAAGACTTTTTTAAGACAAAATGAAAATCTAGATGGAAAATCAAGAATTCTATTTACCGGTATATAGAGACCTTTCGTTTTTTTTTTTTTTTAGACAATTACGGTATATGCTGGTGTTGGATAAGGTCTATATATTGATGATAAGATTTTTTTCATTTACCTTAGCATCATATAACATGGTATTTCTGTATGATTTTTAAATAGTTATTTGATCATGTCCTGTAACACAGTAGTTCTGTGTGACTTTTTTATTGATCAGTAATTGACCAGCATGAATTTTAAAGCTTAAGAGAAACTAAATCTAGTTTTCAATCGCTTTTTTGTGAAAGTATTTATAGGCCACCTGCTTTTAAACAATTTGTGGGTTGTTTCCTGTAGACTTTTACGCTGTGCATCATTTTGATAAATAACATTATGAACAAGATTGTCGTTCCAAAAAGACATTTTTTTGGTATGTACATGTCCTGTCCTAGGTTAACAAATGAAATTTCTAGGTTTCTCATAGGCTAATATTTTAAGCCAACCATCTTCAGATCCTGGGCTGTTCAAATCGCCATTCGTCAATGGTCTGGCATCTGTCTGTTTGTCCTTCAAAAATTCTTGTTACCACTCATATATAAATGGTGAAGATTATCTTTTTACAACAATTGCAAGACAAGTTATGATAACTTCTAATAATCATTATATTTGATTTGGGTGGAAGTGTGAAAAGTCTTACTGTGGGAGTAACCGAGATATTCAATGGGAAACCCCACATGGTCAGATGTTGACCCCATACCGTTCACATCTGTTTAAGGAATCAAATCCCCAGTCTAGTTAAAATGCAAATTTGTTACCACTGCCACCTAATCACCAGAAGTTCCACATTATTTGAATCAATAAATGAAATTTGGACCTACTTTCAAAACCATGTCATATAAATATGACCCTCACTGTCTTTTCATCACTAATAACATTAGGTGATCGGTGAAAGATAAAAGACCCTTGGGCTCTTGTTTACATGTGATGTAGAATCAGAAATTGATGCATGATTATGAAGTTTTCAGCATTTCCATCTCAGCAATCAATTTGTATAATTTATCTTTTAATACATATGATGCGAGTCTAGATCCCTACCAAACATGTAAGTCAGAGGTTGAATAACTGTAATTTTGTAATAACACAGTTGTCTTTTGATAGCACAGTATCCATATGATAAATATAACACAGTGGTCATGTGATAAAACAGTAGTCATATGTTAAATACTACACAGTGGTCATGTGATAAAACAGTAGTCATGGGGTAAATATAACACAGTGGTCATGTGATA